ACAGTTTTACTACCGGTTCTATAGAACCGGTGTGAACCGGGGGCAACCCACCACTGGAGATCTGGTATCTACAATTATATGAAAATAAAGATAGTAAGCAAATTAGGCTTAAAACTACCAGCTACGGAGACTTTGGGAAATTGCAGTAAACCTCAAATCCCTAAATTTCTATCTGCCCAGCCAGCAGCAACTGAAAAAGTTGAGATATTGTGTTGGGTGCTCCATCACTGGACAGCCACCTGTCTGAAATGGTATAGCAGGGGTGTCAAGCTGGCGGCCCGTGGGTTGGAAGTGTCACACGCAGGCCACGCCCACCTGAATGGGGAAAACGTCATAAAATGTCACATGACGGCAACATGACACAGTGAGTTTGACACCCGTGGTATAGGGTCTCCTGCTTGAGCAGAGGGTTGGACTAGAACAGAGGTCACCAACTGGCGGTCCGTGGACCACTGGTGGTTCGCGAGAAAATTATGGTGGTCCGCAGAAAAATTATTTGCGTTTTTTATATTGCACTAAATCAGGGGTCCTCAAACTACGGCCCCTGGGCTGGATACATGCAATGAACACTTGTGTTGCTGCAGAGAGTCTCCCCCTTCGGGGTCTTTTTGTGTGGGTTGGATGGGGGCAGAAATTCCGACTTGGGGTCTGCTTCAGCCTCCTGGTGCAGAGCTTTGGGCAAAAGCTGGAGGGAAGTAATGCTGGTGGCAAGGAGCCGGAGAGCCTTGTTCCAGTGGGACTGCATCATGGCTTGGAAATGGCTGACCATCTCAGCCTGCTGAGCCTCCAGGTGCCGGTACCTGGCCTTGCACTCCTGCAGGTCTTCCCTCTGCTTGGAAAGCCTATGCTCATAGTCCTGAGTGAGGTGCTTCTGCTGAGCCTCCTTCTCGGTCAGATCCAATTTGAACTGAGCTGTTTTGCCAACTCTTTCTCCTGGTGGCTGCTTAGCTCCAACAACTACTTCCTGTTGGGGCCCTAAAGAGCCCAGGCGGGCAGGTGAGGAGTGGCTGGCTGGGTGGGTGAGTAGAGGCTGGCGAGGCATCCCTTGATGCGAGTGACATCAAGTTGGCCATGCCCACCCAGTCACATGATCACCTAGCCACGCCCACCCAGCCAGTCATTAGGCAGATCATATTAGTGGTCTGCAGGATTTAAAATTATGAATTTAGTGGTTCCTGAGGTCCAAAAGGTTGGGGACCCCGACCTCCAAGGTCCCTTCTAACTCTGATCATTACAAGCTGAACACATTTAGTAATGAAATATCAGTGAATTTCAGGGGTTCTCTCTAAATCAGACGCAGAAAGAACAGCCTGGGTTGCATAAAGATCACTAGCAGGATTGCCCAGTGGAGAAGGTCGTATTCACATTCAGAGAAGAAAATAAAATACAAACTAATCAAAGATGGAAGGACATCAGACAGATACGATCATCCCTACATAGCAACGAGTTAGCAAAACAAGTTTTAGTGTGCTAATAAAATCCTGAGAGGCAATTATTTTCCATTTTGGATTGCCTCTGATATTATTCATTTTTATTATTTATTTATTTATTTAGGAGATTTATATTGCCGCCTATTCGCACATGGCGACTCAAGGTGGCTTACAAGAATATAAAAAGATCATATAAAAACAATAAAACTCATAAAAGAGAGAATCATATATAATAAAATAAAATAGCCCCCCACCCCCCACGTTGGCGACAACACATCATACAAGCCTTTTAATGGGCTCCATCCCGCTCTGCATTCCCCAGGCCCGCTGGCAGAACCAGGTCTTTCAGCACCTTCCGGAAGAGTGTCAGAGTGGGGGCCATTCTAATCTCCCTCAGAGAGAGGGAGCCACCACAGGGTAGACTCTTCTTCTGGGTCCCACCAGGTGTATTTCCCTAGGGGATGGGACCCACATAGGTTCTACTTACCTTTATTACCGGTTCCTAACACGCTTGCGTGCATGTGCTCGCTTCACTCATGCACGCACTTTGCTTCTGCACATGATGACATCCGGGGCAGTGGGCGGGGCCCCTCGCTGGTTTTACTACCAGTTCTTGCGAACTGGTCCGAACCGGGGGCAACCCACCACTGGACCCACCACATTCCCTGCCTACCCGATGGGTCAAGTAGATGTGACTGGCAAGAGACGGTCCCTCAGATAACCTGGTCCCAAGCCATGAAGGGCTTTAAAGGTGACAACCAGCACCTTGAATTGCACCCAGAAGCAAATCGGCAGCCAATGCAGCTCTCGCAGGAGAAGTGATATATGTGCACATTGAGGTCTGCGCAAAACCATGCGGGCTGCTGCATTTTGCACCAACTGGAGGTTACGGATGCTCTTCAAGGGCAGCCCCATGTAGAGCACGTTGCAGTAGTCAAGATTAGTAACTGCTGAATTAACTTTATTTATGAAACTTGCCTGTTGTCTTTTAAAGCCATTTAGGTAGGTGGTAACAGCAAATTTTAACTGATTTTAAACTAATGCTCCACTTGACTTACAGTAAATTAAATCCCAACTTTAGTTACATATTGTAAGTAGAAGGATTTCTTTCCACCTGTCCTGGATCTCTCAAGTGTTTGCTTAGTTAGAGGGTTGTAATTTTAGACTCTGGCTGGAATTTTGTCTTACCTAGATTCCTATCAATAAAGAAAATATTGAGTAAATATTGCCTTTCCTCTCCACCTGTGTTCCTGCCTGGTAATCTACCACTTCTCTGAAATCCCAGATATGTTCCTTGGCTAGGTCCTACCTTGCCTTGTGATCACAAAAATAGCTAACAAAATAGGGAACACAGCCAAGGGAGTATTCTGCCTAGTGGGCCAAAGCTGGATTAAGTGGATGTCACATCCTCAAATGGTATCTTTGCTTTCAGACTTGAAGATACAATTTCCCTGGTACTTTTCCACCTATAACTCTGCAAAGCAGTCTAACTCAGACTTATATTGTTTTTCAAGTAGAAACATCCCCTCCAACATTATTAGAATCCATGTTTGCTATTTTCTAATCCTTGAAACACACAGAAGGTGCATGTTCAACATACTTGGGCCATTCCAACTGACAGCTTGTGAATTTGATGGGGGCGATAGCAGCTGCTGGCTTTCCAAAGCACCAGAAGGCAAGACAAGAAACAACGGATAGAAACTGCTCAAGGGGAGAAGCAATCTAGAACGAAGGAGAAATTTCCTAACCGTGAGAACAATTAACCAGTGGAACAGAAGTTGCCTTCAGAAGTTGTAGGTGCTCCATCACTGGAGGCTTTTAAGAAGAGACTGGACAAGCATTTGTCTGAAATGGTATAGGGCCGTGATGGCGAACCTATGGCATGCGTGCCACAGGTGGCACGGGTAGCCATATCAGTAGGCACCCCAGCTCAGTTCCGGCATGCATGCCAGCTGATTTTCGGGCCTTCTGGGCCCACCAGAAGTAGGGAAACAGGCTGTTTCCTGCCTCCAAAGGGCCTGGGGTGGGTGGGGAAGGCCCGTTTTTCTTTCTCACCTGGATCCAGATCCATTCTATGCATCTGGGGAGGGCGAAAACAGCCTTCCCCACCCCCTCGGAGATCCTCCAGAGGCCCGAAATGGCCCAGATAGAATTATGGGTGTGGGCACACATGCGTGCGAACCTCCCCCACCCCCCCTTCCTGGCACGTGATGACAGAAAGGTTAGCCATCACTGGTATAGGGTTTCCTGCCTGAGCAGGGGGCTGGACTAGAAGACCTCCAAGGACCCTTCCAACTCTTATTCTGTTAAGAGTCGCACTAGATTTTGCACAGCTTAATAAATAGAAAGGGGCGTGATTCATTTTTTTTGTAGGGGAGATTTCAAGACTTTCAAAAGCTGTAATTGTAAAGCTTATGGTGAAAAGGTCTCTTCTCCAAACTGACCCTGTAGTTTGAGCCCTGTGAGTTTGGGGGGGGGGGGAGACTTTTGACAACCATGAATGGAGGTGTCTGATGCAATCATGGGAATGTCCCATTCTCTAAACACACTTTGAATAGCAGCGCGCGAAAGGTGAACAAGTGCAGCAGAAGATTTAAAGTTGCAATCTGGCAGGACAATGTAAGCGATTATGGAGGCGAGACTTCCTGTCCTAGAACTACTGTTCTTTTTATATATATGTTCCCATTTGGAAGCAGGCATGCTCCGGATGTCTGGACGTCTGACCAATCCGCTGAATAGAAGATATTCCCTACCTCAAATGTAAGGCAGAGTAGAGATGGGAGTAACTGGACAGGAACACCGAGGCCTTAATGCTTGAAAAGCTCAAGATGTCAAACTGTAATTCATGTCTGCGTAACCCTTCCCTAAATAGCAAGTGCTTGGTCACAGCCGAGGCCCAGCTGAAGCCTCTGGGACTTCAGGCAGCCCAATTCTCACGCCTGCAATTAGGTGAGAAAGTTGTTCGGTGTTCCCATCCCCACCCTTATTTCTGGAGAGAGAGAGAGAGCGCGCATCAATAGCTCACAACATTGTCCATTTATGGTAGCATTTTGGCTTTGTGATCTCAGTGGTGTTTGCGGGAGGGTATGAGCCACAGATTCCCGACCCCCTGAATTAGACACAGCAGTTCCACTTATTAGATTCAGTTAGCAATCTGAAGCATGTCGTATAAACTCTGGCATTCTACTTGGACATGGGTAAAACCTAAGTGTTAAAGAGCCTTGGTGGCGCAGCAGACTAAAGTGCTGTTAACTAGCACCACCTGCCTGCAATTACTCCAAGTTCAAATCTCACCAGGCTCAAGGTTGACTCAGCCTTCCATCCTTTCGAGGTAGGTAAAATGAGGACCCGGATTGTGGGGGCAATAAGCTGACTTTATATAAAAAAGATCACCGCTTTGGGGGGGGGGGCAAAAAGCCCTACTAAGCAGGTATATACAAAAGTATGAAGGCTATTGCTTAACGCACTGGAAGCCGCCCTGAGTCTCCAGAGAAGGGCGGCATATAAATCGAACCAATAAATAAATAAATAAGACGGTTTGAATGAAAAAAGGAAAGAAAATTCCAGCGATTAAAAAGTTTGATTAATTTAATTGCAAACCTCGTACAAAACTAGGAATTCTGAGAAACACACATTGCTTTCAAATAGTTAAAGGCAGCCACGTTTATAAAATGCAAACCTAGAAATAGGTTTATGTCCGTATCAAACCAGAGTATACAGTAACAGAAAGGAGGTACAAAAACAAGGCCACCAGCCCCACATGGGGCAGAAGCAGGATGTTTACATGCTTAGAAGCATTTGGAATGCATTTGAGGGAGGGGGGGATTCAGTCCCCATCCCACCCCTCGTGGGAGTCTAATTAAGACCCATCTTGAAATGGGGGAAAGCATCCTCCCAATAACTTTTCATACAATCCATTTCTATTCTCCATTTCTGTTGAATTCATACAGCCAACAAAATCCAAAGATATTTTTTTTTCTAAATTCTGTAACTCAAAGGGTTAGTTTTGAGAATTTAGACGCACTATAAATGAAATTGCAAAATCAACCACCTGTTACAACCACATCAATCCTATTCCCTGATAGTACAATTGCAATTCTGTTGCATTTAATCAAAAACAAACCACTCCCTGATGTAAGGGAGAAAAAAATATGTGCACCCCTTCTGTCCTTATCAACAATTTTTAGACTGGAGACTCTTATCCACTCAACCCCTGACCATTCCCAGAAGCGTCTGCTTGATGGATGAAATTAAAAGGGAAACCCAGTTGGGTAATCCAAAAAAAAACGTCAGACGTGTTAACAGTGACATAGACAGTGTCATAAGGCAGGACTTCTTTTAGCCAACTTCCGTCTGAAAGTCATTTATGGAATTCTAGGCAATGGAACAGAAGCATCTTCTCAGATTCTCAGGGTGAATGGGTTCCTTCGGCAGCTTCAGTCTACACAGAGTAAAAACCCCCTCTGTAGGTGTAGGAAGGACATCGTGAAATGCACCCAAGGAAAGCACAGTAGATCGGTCTAGAGTTCAAAATGCTTTTGTGCTGATCCTGAACAGTCACCACTTTATGCGCTGAGGAAGAGCTCTCGTCTCGCTCTTCATCCCGAATGCCGATCTAGCTCGCTCTGTTTCAGAGAGAGTCCAATGAAGGCATTTTGTGTAGAGCACCGACTAAGAATGGGCACCCACATTTGCTCTTGGGGCAATCTTCTTCTTCACCCCACCATTGAGCTTCCACTCGCGGTAATCTCTCTTATTAAAGGATTTCCTTTGATCTCAAGTCAGGCAGTGCTTCCTTCAGCAAGTCATGCAACGTGGACGGATGCTGTTGTCAGAGGGAGGATTGGGGTCCACCTAGATTTCAAGGAGAGCAAGAGAAAGAGAAAATGTTACGAATAGCTCCCCCGGGAAAACTGATTTGATAAAACACATTTACTAGCAAGATCCTGATAGCGTCTAGTATAGGGGTCGGCAACCCGCGGCTCTGGAGCTGCATGTGGCTCTTTCATCCCTCTGCTGCGGCTCCTGTCACCATTGGCTCCACAATTGATAGGGCTTTCGGTTAGGACAGGTAGAGGAAAAAGGACACTGCGCTAGGAGGAGACTCTATGGTGGGGGAACCAGACTTCCGGTTGGCTCCAGAATTGAATGGGGGGCTTCTGGTTAGGACCTTTGTGGCTCTTTGAGTGTTTAAGGTTGCCGACCCCTGGGTTAGTATAAGAAGGGCAACAAAAAGAAGAACTTTGCCAGCAAAGCAATAAGTTGTGCATCACTCTCCCGTGCTCACCTCAGAGTAGAGAGGAGGTGGTCGGAAACGAAATTCTTGGATGTAGGCAAAGAAAGGTCCTTCAAGTAAGGCAGGACACTCATCCTGAGAAGGCGGGGACAAGTTCTCAATGGTTTCTTCACCAGACACTACAGTAGAGTACTCTGGAGGAGCTAAGGAGAAACACAGTAGATTAACTTGAGTGCCTTTTACACATGATTTCTAGACTTAAATCTAAATGATGCTACCAGCAGGGCCTCATTTGTTTTTACATAAATTATCCCAAATACTATCTAAGGACAAAGTTTGTCATAGCCTAGCAGAGTACGTGAACCTAAACTAAGAATCTTAACTCCAACTAGATTCATGCAAATGAAATTGTATTGCTTTTAACCATTCCAAGAAAGATGGTATTTGGTCAGGTCTTAAAATTGCAGAAGGTTGCAACTTGCTACACTGAGAAAGCTTCAATGTCATAAATGCACAATATAGCCATGGACCTCAGGAATTCATCCACCTGCCTTTAACCCCCCCCCCCCCCATTACAAACTTTAATATTTTAGAACAAGCAAAATACAGTCCAGTAACTCCATCCCAAAGAAGGCTTCTGTTTTTTTAAAAAGGTAAAAGTGAAGGTTCCCCTTGCACATATGTGCTAGTCGTTCCTGACTCTAGGGGGCGGTGCTCATCTCCGTTTCAAAGCCGAAGAGCCAGCGCTGTCCAAAGACGTCTCTGTGGTCATGTGTCCAGCATGGCTAAACGCCAAAGGCGCACGGAATGCTGTTACCTTCCCACCAAAGGTGGTCCCTATTTTACTACTTGCATTTTTATGTGCTTTTGAATTGCTAGGTTGGCAGAAGCTGGGAGAAGTAATGGGAGCTCACCCCATTATGCTGCACTAGGGATTCAAACTGCTGAACTGCCAACCTTTCGATTGACAAGCTCAGCGTCTTAGACATTGAGCCACCGTGTCTCTCTCTCTCTCTCTTTCTTTCTTTCTTTCTTTCTTTCCTTCCTTCCTTCTTTCCTTCTTTCTTTCTTTCTTTCTTTCTTTTTCTTTTTTTTACAAAAGCACAATTTTTGGAATTGTACTTGATGCAGGCCTTCTCAGTAGAGATGCTGCAAATTCAGGACCACCAACTAAAGAACCATTTTCTTTGCCTAGTTTCAATCACTCAGACCCAAAGATGCTTTTTCTAACACGCAACTGAACTGTGTTTTGTTTTTTTTCCCTTTGAAAAAGTTTCGTTTCTCATGCAAGAAACTTCTTCAGTTCTAGCTGAATTAGAACTGAAGAAGCTTCTCTGATGAGAAGTAAAACATTTTCAAAGGAAAAAAAAACAAGAAAGTTCAGTTGCCTTTTGGAAAAAGCATCTTTGGCACAACCATGACCTGGAATCTGGATGACTGAGAATCTCCATAGACTTTCAATCCCTAAATCTCCCAGTTTGTTTCACTCTTCACTTCAACCTTAAGCTGCTCACCCTCAGGCCGTTCAGAGATCCCCAACTGTAGCCAATCCATATTGAGGCTGTACTGGCTGCTGATGCTGGACGTGCGGCTGCCAAATGGATGCAAAGGAATTGTGCCTATCACTAGTGGCAACTCCAGGAGCAGCTTGGAAGTCCCTGGGATGTCAACACAGACCTGCCAATAAAAAAGCCCACCATTAGCTTTTAGGAAAAAGAGAGAGAGAAAAAAAGATACTCTATCTCATCCATCATTTCCAGATTGCCCTACATATAGCAAGCCCAGGTTTCTTTGTTCTACATCTCAAAAGCTAAGACCGCATTTCATTTTGCATTCTTTGCATAAGAGAAGACATTCAACATTTTTTCTAGTTCTGGGCGCTATACCTTAAATAGGACTCAAATTGCAACAGGGGAAAAGGGCAGTGAGAAAGATTGGGGGGGTGGGGGTGGAAACCAAATCCTATGAGTCTGAGTGAGGATGTTTAGCTTCTATTTTTCCAAAGTGGGACAATGCACACATAAGCATATTTGCATCCAGTAAAAGTTAACTGATAGTGGGACTGGCAAAGACTGGAGTATTCTCCCCAGGGAAGCTCTTTTTATCGCCCCAAAAGGAGTCTAGACTAGGGGTGTCCAATCTTGACCACTTTAAGACATATAGACTTCAACTCCCAGAATTCCCCAGACAGCTATGCTGCAAGTCTTAAAGTGGCCAAAATCGGACTTTAAAGTCTTAAAGTGGCCAAGATTGGACTCCCCTGGTCTGAGATAGGAGATAGGATAGGATATGTGCCTTCAAGTCAGTTTGACTTCTGGAGATTACATAGACAAGTCCATGCAGTTTTCTTGGCCACACTTTTTGGGAAATGGTTTGCCTTTGCCTTTTTTCCTGAGCTGAGAAACAAAGGTTGGCCCAAAGTCAGCTGGCTCTGTGCCTAAGGCAGGATTAGATCTCATAGTCTCCTGGTTTCAAGACATCTTTAGGTGGAAAAAAGAATATTTCAGCAAACTGATTTCAACCATTCTATTTTTGTTAATTTCACTGATTCTATCCAGTTTGTGAATTATCAACTTTGGCTGCTGTTTAAGTACCAGATTAAAACGGATGTTTTGAAATCATTCATTTATACAAATAGCCTGAGCTCTTTTATGAAGAGGAAGGATAAATGGATGAGGAAAGAAAAATGAGATTTTTCTGGGATGCAGTGTGTTAACCCACCAGACAACCCCAAATCTCTAAACTCTCTTATGTTTACATGGATGCCCTTTTTCACCTCACCTTCAGTGCATATTCAACATGGATGATGCGACACTGCAGGATGGAGGGCCCAACCGGTGGGATCTTGAGCGCACGGCCATGCCACACCTCTCTCGTCCCTGCTATAATAGAGTCTCCCGCAATGCTTGCCACCACACATTTCTTCTGTTTTTTAGTGCCTCGGGCAATGAATGTCTGTGTCTGGATGATGGCAGCCTTTGGTACGATAGAACGGTTGGTGCAGTTGTCAATTTCAGCAAAGATGGGGATGACCTCACCTGCAAAGGGAATGGAAGAGAGGCGGGTATTAGAAAGGAATCTGCTACAGTTACTCGTCTGCTCTTTTAAACTTTTTCTCTAACCTTTTGCTGGTCTTTGAAATTTTTGTAAGGGCACACAAATATTTGATGGCAACAGTACTGCTTCTCCCAACCACTCTCCTCAAGAATTTTGATGGCCTGTTCTTCATGAGGGAACTTTGAGAACATCTTAGCTAATGCTACGTTTGTGATTTATATAGTTATCAAATTTATATACTTCCCATCTCACCTAAGTGACTTTGGTTGGTTTACAAATGAAAAAAAGGAAAGTAAGAGACCCAGTTTGGTTCAGTGGTTAGGGCACAGGCTAGAAGCTGGGAAACCATGAATTTAAGTCCCACTTTAGCCATGATAGCCAGCTGGGTGACACTGGGCCAGTCACTCTCTCTCAGCCCTTGTGAGGAAAATTAAGAGGAGGAAGGTATATTGGGTTATTTGTAAAAATAAATAAATAAATAACCCATACAACCATGTACAAGATGATTATACATAGATTTGGAGGGGGGGGGGGAGTTAAAAACAGGACTAGATTTTTAAAAAGTGGCGGGAGTACCATCAAGTCACTAACCACCCAGGGTTGCACGTCACTCTCAAATCCCCCTGCCAGTTTTGGAATTTGAGTGACTGCAGTTGTATAAAAATGAGCCATTCACCAAAATTCTGAATGTTGGGCACATCTGGGATAAAGATGAAAAGAGAAACGATCCCATATTGCAGCCCCCTCCTAAACAATTGCCTAAAAGATCACCTGGTGTGTAGCCTTTCCGATCAATTTTGGCTGAGACCGAAACCTGGCCACGGTTACAGTACCACGCTCGTGCCAGCTTTTCTTTGGCACCAGCCTGGGGAGTCTGTTGGGAAAAGTGAAAAGAAGAGAAACACATTAGCAGCAGGAAAAGAAGAATCTGAAGTTGCTTTTCTTTTTCCATATTAAAAAATGTTTCAATGAGGAAGAGGATAAACTTGGAGAAAGGTTCACAGACAATAGCAGATTCCTTCCAACAAAGCACTTGGAGGATGAAGAGGGTTTTTTTAGATTTTCTTTGGGTGCTGGATTCTTTGGGTCTTGTTTCTAGATCTTCAGAAAGTTCTTGGTTCATTTATAAAAATAAACGAACCACGGTGTCACAAATGATTAGAGTTTGCTTGTCCTTCAGCACGAATTAGACAAGCTTATGATTGGGTTACCTAGGAACTACCAACTTTGGTATTAGGAGTTACAAACCATGGTGATGAAATAAGCAGCTCAGACATACTTGACAAATGTGTTAAGGCTGCAAATTCTGGACAGCGCTAAATTAGGGAAGGCGGGATTATGATATTCAATAAAAGCATGGCAATAAGCTTCGCCATCCTATGACAGAAATCTTTAAAAGACTTCAGCTTGTTCATATATTCACCATTCATCCTCAACATCTCACCAGGATATTGCAGAGAATCACAAGAGGCAAACATGATGGGGATGGTTTTGATAAACGAGAGACCTCAATTAAGTAGCATGTATTTAATGCTAGGTAACCCAAGTAGCATGTATTTAATGCTACTGAATTAAATACTATACTTTCTGGTGTTAAATTTATATTTTAACACCAGAACACCCAGGTTCGAATCCCAGAAAGGTATGTCTTAGCTGACGAGAACTAAATAGCTTGAAATAGTCTCCCTTTATTTCTTTGTTGGTAAATATTAATTTAGTGTGAAAGTGACTGCCTGCAAAGGCTCCTGGACTGGGGCTGAAAGGCGAAAGCAGAAGCAGTATGCTCCATCCCATATTTGGGTAAATCAGGTTGCCCTGATAAAAAACACTTACACTTTCTGGTGTTTAAGTAATACGTTATACACAATTATAACCTAATACTTTGGACACAAGAATAGAATAAGCTGGCAATAAACTGTACAAGGCCATTAAGCCACTGTAGTTCTTAAGGAGAGTCTAAGATTGTTCTTGATTGGGCTGTGAGACTAGATAAGGCCTGATTAAGTATCTCCAAAGAATTCTATGGCTGCACCAAGACAGGAAAACTTTAATAACAGCCTGGAAAAAGGCAGCTGCAAATCACTGCTGTATGCATGACAAAACTATATGGGACTACCTGCAATCCAACTACCTCCTAACTAATATAGTCTTTTATCAATTGTAAATTGCTAGTGTGATCCAGGTTAGCTTTCGGGGAATAATCTGGAATGACTGTCTTTCCTTTGACATCCCATCTCAGCTTACCAGTAAGGTTGGTGTGTTGATATCAATGGGTTCAATGACTGTGAACTCCTTCTTGGCTCGTTTGACGGAAGACCAAGGCCGGTGTAATTTGGCCTTCACCCAGTAGCGGACACTGCCATGCTTGCCTTCAAAGGAGGTGGCCAAGGTCCTGTTTTGGGAAAAAGAAATATTGCGACTAAGAACAAGGCCGGTGTCAACCGCTCCAGCTAGAAAAAGCCTAAAATAGTCACTGTTATGAACCCATAATATATCTGAAAAAGATAAGAACTTACCCTGGGAGCTGGAAAGTGAAGGGAAATTCATGCCTTCCTGCCTGAAGGACCGTGACATCTCCATTGTCTGTTAAGGAACAGAAGAAAGAACAAAAGCTCTTTTTAATTTTTTTATTTTTTGCATAAAGTTGTGCCAAGCTTTTATGCAGTAGCAAACCAACAGAACTTAGGTGAAATTAAACATGCACATCCAAGAGATAGTAACCTGGAGATAGGTAACCAAGAATCAGGTTCAACTACATTAACCACAAAGGTGTTTTTAAAAAAGGAAAAACAAAGCCTCAAGTCATCCAAGAGATTACAGAACAGGGCTGTCTATACATTTTTTCCCCACCATAACCTTATCTTTCTGCTTTCGACATCAATACACCCAAGGGAAATATCTTGATATACCTGTCAATGGAACAGGTCGAAGCTACACCGAATTCCTGCTGGCTTACAAGAGGCATTTGGGAAACTTGCGCTTCGCTTGCCTAATAAAACTACCAGACTTCAAAGCAAGTTGCTAAACTCAAGAGAAGCAGTGCATAACGTCTCAGGCCTTTCTCTTTCCTTCGTCCACCCCCCAAACGTTATATAATGCGCGGCTTCCGAGAAGAGAACTGGCCGGTCCCAAATTTGCCAGTTGCATCCACCTCCCGTCTGGCACGGAGGCTCGGGCAACCGGCCCCGCCGGAGGAATTCTGCAAGAGGGCAGCTGCACAAAGATCGGAGCAGCCTTAACCCAAGAGGGGGGAAAAATAAAATAAAATAAAATAAAATCCAGCTCTCTCGGGCAAACTCGCCTTCCCCATCAGACCGAGCCCGTCTGCGCCACGAGCAGCAGCGAAGCCAGCCAAGTCTTAGCGCGGCGCCCTTGCCCGGTTCTTTCTTTCTCGCAAGAAGCCCGAAGCTGGGTAGGCGTGATGCGCAGCTCCGGCGCTTCCCCGAGAGAGAGAGATTTATTTTATTTTATTTATTTTATTGCAATTTATATGCTGCCCTTCTCCCGAAGGACTCAGGGCGGCTTACAAGATAAAAATTGAACAATATGGATGAAGATGGATGAAGGAGCCCGGGGAGGCTGGGATCGGGGTCCGTTCCGCCCCAGCAGAGTAACAAAGTTGGAAGGGACCTTGGAGGTCATCTAGTCCAACCCCCGTGCTCAAGCAGGAGACCTGCACTTGGGATTCGAACCGTCGGACTGCCCACTTTTCTGATCGACAAGCTGAGTGTTTTAGCCACCTAGCCAGGTAAAAACCCACCCAGCCACCCGAGTCCGGGATGCTCCGTCGTCTCTACCTGGCTGGGCGAGGAGGGTCTCCCGGTGGTTGAGGAAGTCCACCTGGTCGCCGTAGCTCTGCGTATAGGCTGTGCTGGAGCCGGCGCTGCGGGACTCGGTCCAGTGGACCTTGGCGCAGCCTTCGGCGTGGATGTGGAGGGCGCCCAAGCGCGCTTCGCCGGACAGCTCCAGCACGACGCGACCGGTCACGCTCTCGCCCGAGCTGAAGACCGGCGGAGAGGCCAACTCCGGACAGTCCAGCACGATGGAGAAGCGCTTCAGCCGATCGAAGAGCATGGCCGAGAGGAGGAGGAGGAAGAGGAGGAAGGGGGAAAAAAAAAATAATAACCCTCGACGGGAAAACTCGACGTGCGATCAAGCGGGGCGCAAGTGGCGCTTTTGGCTCTTTCTCCGCGCGCGGCCCCTTTAAATGCTTCAGCCGCCTGCCCGGGGCCCCCTCCGCAGCCCGAAAGCCACGCCCCCGGCAGCCGAGCGGCCAATCCGAGGGTGAGGGTTACAAAAAAAAAAAAAAAAAAAGGTTGGGCCTCGGGAAGGCGGGGCGAGAGGAAGCCCTTGGAAAAACAAGTCAACAAAACAGGCGCTCCTCCGGCTTTGAAAGTTGGCTGGCGGGGCTGCTTGCTTGCTGCTCGCTTGCCTGTTTGACCCCCGCCCCCTCCCCTCGCTTTGCTCTCGAGTTTGCAAACGGGGGTTGGCTGGTGGTTGGTGGGAGAAGTTTCCAGAGAGATAAACTTTCCTCACTGGGCAAAGTTAGCTTGGTAAACCGGAGCCAGATATATATATATATATATATTTAAATAATAAAATAGAATAAAATGCCTTGCGATTTAGGAAACTCAAGGAGAATTGAAATAGGTCCATGTCAGAAAAACAACACTGTAGGTCAGAGGTCTTCAAACTTGGCAGCTCAGAGGTCTTCAAACTTGGCAGCTTTAAGACTTGTGGGCTTCAACTCCCAGAATTCTCCAGCCAGCTTTGCTGGCTGGAGAATTCTGGGAGTTGAAGCCCACAAGTCTTAAAGCTGCCAAGTTTGAAGACCTCTGCTGTAAGGTTGTTTGTTGTGATGACTTTTCCGCCTTTCTCCTGCCTCGCACAATGCATCCTATCCTAGGATCTGGAAAGAAGGTGTCCTTCAATTAAATAGAAATAAAAATTCTAGTCAGATCTGGTCTGGAGAATGTCCACCTTAATTATAGAAAGATGCGGAGAAAAAACGGTGCGGGCATTTAAGGGGAATATCAGCCGGGAGAGAAAAAAAAATAAAAAAACAGCACCCAAATCCAGGAGCATCCAGGAAGTTTTTTTTTTTCTCTCCCTCCCTGTTTTTCTCCGCATCTTTCTATAATTAAGGTGGACATTCTCCCAGACCAGATCTGACTAGAATTTCTATTTCAGTCAACCGAAAGTGCAACTGTATTGCCCTATCTTGCCCTGAGGCTAAACCAATATGCATTCCTTTGTGGGATACTTCGTTTTCTTGCCAGGAGAATTTACTTCGGAAATTCCCCTCTCCTCTACCTGCTTTTCCATTCCAGAACTGACTTAATCTAGTTCCCGACAAATGTCACTTCTGTCATTCTCTGGTAAAGACCTTAGTTGACTGGGGAAGAATTGGACTCTGATCCCTGTAGAAAAAGGCTGGATGCACCTTTTTTCCATCACTGATTTTTGCAGCCTTCCTTCCATCCAAGCTCCCAGGTGCAGCCAGGAGTTTTCCAGCATTAGTTTGGGAAGTCCAAGGTCTTGGGAGTGGGGGGAATAGAAAGGCTGCCTGATCCAAGGAAGGACATTTTATTTTCTTGCAAGATCCAGTATCAACCCTAGCTCTGAATCTGGGACAAGAGGGTGTCTTTTCACCCACACACAAGTATAGATTTCAGTTAAACATCATCATTATTTTTTGGAAATTTGGCACTATTGTTCCTATACAATTCTTCCCGCCAAAAGATCAAATGCAGAATGGTACAATCTCAATCTCTCTCTTCAAAGTTTTGGCAGGCTCACCTGGGCTATGGAGAAACCTGTAACTTAAAAGCAGTGTGTAGAATTGTAATAGAGAGGGGTGGCAAGAATACTAGAGATTTCCTCCTGATTAGCTCCTAGGTCTAAGAAGAACTCAAAAATTGCCAGTGGAGGATTACAAGGAAAAAGGGAAGGTAACATTCTGAGAGCATCTTCTATCCCAGGGCTCTGCAACCTTAAACACTCAAAGAGCCATATGGACCACATAGTTTCCCACAGAAAAGAAAACACCGGGAGCCACAAAACCTGGGTGGGCGTGGTCAACTCGACATCACTCACTTCTACCAGTCATATGACACCCCCCCCAGCCACGCCTATCCAGCCGGTCATTAGGGCAGAGAACCGGCTGTTAAAAAACACCGGGAATCACAAAACCCTTTTGACATTTCTCTCTCCCTCCCCCCTCCCCCCTCTCTCCCCCCCCCCTCTCTCTGTATCTCTCTGTCTCTGCCCCGGACACTTCTCCATCACCCGCCATCGCCCTTACATTCTCAGGCTAGGTGAGAAGTGACTGGGAGGGGAGGGTGGGGGCTGGGCCAGCCAGTGGTGGGATCACCTGACGGAGCCACAGCAGAGGGCCCAAAGAGCTGCATGCGGCTCCAGAGCCGCAGGTTGCTGACACCTGTTCTATCTCCTTGAGTGGATATAAGAAGACTAAGAGTTATTAGGGTCAAATATGTGCTTTAACTCAGAGAATTATTATAAAAAATGTACAATGGAAACCAGAGGCTTTACATCTGAGGGAGAAATAGTTGAAGAAAAAATATGGGACTGTTTATATATATGAAAATTGCCATGAGACTTTTGTATTCCCAGAGATGGAAAGATTCCCACAATGGAAAAATAGATGAAGTTAAAAGAACTGGCTCAGATGGCAAAATTGACTACTTTGATTAAAGAAAACACCTTCTGTGACTTTATTTCTAGCCGGAAACCATGTCAGACTTTTTGATAGAGACCAAAAGAAATAGAGCATTAATTTTGCCATTTGACAATTAGAAATGTTTATGATTATAGAAATACTGGGTATTTATTATTGAATTTTAGATCAAAAAGTTAATATTTTTTATATTTGTGTCAAAGAAAGTTGGAAGTTACTCTTGCTTTATTTCTTTTCATTTTTCTTTGTTCCTTCCCTTCCCTTATTATTTCCTTCTTAATAATTTTTGTCTGTTTTTCATATCTTATAGAACTTTAATAATAAAAAAGGGAAGGCAACAATCTTCTCATCTTGGACATCTGGTATTCAGAAGTAAACAACCTAAGGACACGGAGGTTCCTGAATACCAGGAAAAATTACAAGCGTTCTGGCAAAGCAGTCACTTGATGAGCATAAAAACACCCATATTTTGCTCATAAGACATGGTCATGCCAGAGAAAAAGAAATTTCTTCCAACATTTGGCGTACACTGCCCTCATATGGGGACCAGGGGGAATAACAAGTGCATTTTGCATGAGGTAATTTTTATTGTTTGGTTATATTTAATGGCCCAGAAATAAATAGTCCTAAGTAACCAAAACAATTCTGGGAATGGATTAATGATGCTGTAATCTCTTATGCTTTTATGGACTGTCATACATTGCACTTTTCTTCAATAAAGATGCAACATTGGTAGATCATCCAGCCACTCATTTCATGTGTAATAAACAGAATCTCACAATGCAGGAATCCTATAAAATAGATCCTATAAAATAGATCCTTAAATGGATCCAAGTTGAGCACAAATTCCAAAGAACAAGGACCCCTGTTAGTATGTAGTATAATAACTTTCTTCTCTCCCACTCTTAAATATTTAGACATACTTCCTTATGGTACCTTAAAGGTTAACAGCCAATCAAAGGCTGTTTAATGAGAATTTTTTACCAGATTAAAACTACAGAGTTCCTTTAATTTCCCCTTTGATGCTGAAAAAAACAAGGTTCGCTACCACTCTAGAATTTAATATTTGAAAGGAGTATCCTCTAATTTATTTTATAAACGTAGAAATGTAGTACATCCTATAAATGTATTGGATTAAAGCTATATTTCCAGCCAGTTTACGTTGGGATAGAAATTCAGTCCTGTTGCACATCACTTAATGGGAATGAGCCAATTCTTTGGGAATAAGGGCTGGTTGTAAATCTGCTCTTGGCACGTAATGAATCGTGTGGGATTCCAGTTGAATTTTTAAAAGTTGTTTGCTTTTTGTTAAACCACAAAAGGGTTTTGTTATTACAAAAATATAATAAATGCTAAAAAGAATATGCTAGCCTCTTTGTTAAGACCAAGTAAAAGAGTGAAAAATAAAAAAGAGTGATCTTTCAAGCCCTTCAAAGCTCCTCTGGAGATGATGATAATGGCATCCATTAAGGGATATCCTGAAGCTGCAGTAATTCTTGTTCTGGAATCACTAGTAGACTAGCATCTCCTAATTAGAAATCAGAATCTGTTGGACACCTCTAGTCAGGGCCGGATTTTCCTATAGGCTAACTAGGCTTCAGCCTAGGGCCTCAAGATCAAGAGGGGCCTACATTCAAATTGTTAGCAAAATTAAAATTACACTTTCACTATAGGTGAAAGGGCCTCATAAGTGGAATAGCCTAGGGCCTCTTTTCATCTAAATCCGGCCCTGCCTCTAGTAATGGAGTTGTGGATGTTTCATCACTGGAGGTTTTCAAAATAGACTGGACAACTATTTGACTGAGATGGTATAAGGTCTTCTGCCTTGAGCAGAGGGTTGGACTAGGAGATCTCAGAGGTCCCTTCCCGCCCTATGATTCTATGTTCTACCCTCTCTGCCCACCTGAAATTTTACAATGGTTTTATAAATTAAAACAAATGAATAGAAGGTTAATGTTCTGCCAGGTGAACCACTAATCTTTACCATTGTGTTTTTTTTCAGTAATATCCTTGGATTCCATGCAATATCAGCTTGTACAAAACAGAGTATATTAAGATTAGTTAGCTTCATGGCAAATGAAGGCTTTGTGACTGTTTTTGCATGTATTGTGGCAGCCATTTTGTGAATAAGGTAATCTCCCACAACAGCCATGTTAGGAATATTTTTAATATTCTAAATCGGCCCAAAAGGATTGCCTGGTCCCATTGGTGAAATCCAAATTTTTTTACTATGGGTTCTGTGGGCTTGGCTTGGTGGGCCTGGCAAAGGAAGGCTACTGCAAAATCCCCATTCCCATCCCACTCCAGGGGAAGGATACTGCAAAATCTCCATTCCCACCCCACTCTGGGGCCAGCCAGAGGTGATATTTGCCGGTTCTCTGAACTACTCAAAATTTCCGCTACCGGTTCTCCAGAACCTGTCAGAACCTGCTGGATTTCACCCCTGCCTGGTCCTGAGTGGATTAGATGGACTACTTGGTTGAATTAGTAATACACAAGAAGTCATAGTGACTGAGCCATTGATCTGTATGCAAAAATTTAGGCCTAGTTCTCCCTATCTGACCTCCATCTAAAGGATTTTAGGCAGCGAAACTAGATTAGGCATGTTTCTACATGAGTTGCATTGCCAATATATAAAGTAGGCAGATCAATCAGCTGTTTTGATAGAAAAGAAGGTTACCTATCATGAGCCCCTGGGTGCTCCTGCCTTGCTGACTCATAAACTGAGGCAAGATCTGAATTGCCTAAGGAGGGGTGTTGTTTACCAAGCTAGTTAATTGCTCCTAGTCAAATCTCAGAAAAAGCGTTTTATGTTTACACATCCTTGTGCAAATAGCTCCAGGCTTGGTATCCTGGGTCCCAGGAAGATTTCTGAAAATGATAACTAAAGAAAATAAGAAATGCACCAGGAGATTCTGCAAACACTATGCCGGAGTGCTGAATTAGTATGTTCTCTCCCTGGCTTCATGCTCTTGCTAAAATTCTTTTCCAAAATTGTGGGATATTTGAATGCAGCAATTTCAAGAGTGCTTGTTCGGCCACTCTAGTACTGTTAGGTTCCTTCTCTAATTGTCCCCAATTTTGCATCTGCTATGGAGGGCAAAAACTACAAACAGAATCTTTTCTCTGATGGGACATGAGTTTTGGAGCAGATCTTTACACTGGGAGGTTCTTATGTTAATAGTGTTTAAATGTTAAAGTGAAGAATTGTTTTCTTTTCTTCCACCTTTCTTGCAGAATGTGATTTAAATTTGATTGATTTGAATGTACATTGTTTTGTAATCGCCTAATTTCATTTTTAAGACTCAATCATGTTGTACTTTGTGATACAAATTTATGAATAATAAGTATAAACGTAAATATATACCCTGTAGTTTACAATGATTGGGGAGTTATTTCATTGATTGTTCATTGTTTTGCAAACCAAGTTGTATACTGATTATAAACAGATAAGGTGTGGCCTTTCTCCACCAAAACAGAACTTGCATTCATCTTGCATTTTATCTATTATGCTTTGTGTACAAAACCTGGAGCAATCAATCCTTGTGTAAATTCCCTTGCATATTTAGAGTGCTTATGGTCCTTTTGTTCTTAAGCACCCTAAGAAGAAAACAGGAGTCCAGATCAAGTCCATCTAGACCAGCAAGATGTCTTCAGGAAGTCTACAAACAGAAAACGAAAGGCAATTGCCATTTTTGGCTGTTGTTATTCAATTGAATGTATTTCATCTCAGCTCCCTTCTGAACATGGAAGTTCTATTTATTTACCAAAGCAAAGAATGCAACAGAGAAACCCAGCAAAGGAGAATTCATTTAATTTTAAGTGTTTCAACCTGCTAGAGGCTTATTAGAAGCCTTTGAAAAAAGTCGCCTCTATGGTTATCCTAACAAGTGCCATGTGGCATATTCCCTCTGAAAACAGAGATGTACAGATGCCATTTTCTGCTGCTTATAGTGTCACTGTCTAGAACAGTGTTTCCCAACCTAGGCTGCGTGAAAATGTATGGATGTCAACTCCCAGAATTCCCTAGCCAGCCATGCACTGGCCTAGAGCCTGGGACTGTGTAAAAAGGACATTTTTTTTTTGCCTCAAGAGAACCCAGAACTCTGGAACTATCCATGTCATATTTTTCATCGTTCTGCATTTTTCTTTGACTTTCTCATAGAAATGGAAGAGAGAAATACAGAATCCTTTCTCATCCGAATTTAAACAGAAACAAGGCTGGGAAAGTTAAAGGTCTGCTACTTTTTCAAACAAAATAAAGCCTTTTCACTTCCCCTTTCCCTTGCATTTCTCTTATTTTTTTTTTCTTTTTCTTCCACTTCTCTTGGCTCTGATGGGTGAAAAATCTTGCAAAGCCTTTTTATGTTTTCACCAGTTGCTTCAGTCCATGGGTGGGACCCAAAGACACAAATATTTTAAATGAAATGTGAAGAACGGTGATTCCTTTGATATTCAACTACCATTAAAGCATAGAATATAGCTATTTAGTCTGTAGCTATTTTGACTACTTTGGGAGCAAAGAACAATGCATGTTTCCGTATTCATCAGCAAAAATGACAAACCAGTTGCGCCAAGGCACTTTCCAGCATGCACATGGGTGTTTCAAAGCCCTGTTGCGCTTCCAGCATATTAGCGAACCCAGCTGTCTACAAATTCTCTGCTTGTTTGTAGTCCTCATTAAATACGAAGAATTGCTGCCACTCCTGTATAGCAGCCTGTTGGCATCAAGGCAAGAAGTAATTAATTCTCCCAATGGAATTCTTGCCTCTGCACTGCTTTTGGCCAGAAACCCACCCTTCCTTCCTTCCTTCCTTCCTTCCTTCCTTCCTTCCTTCCTTCCTTCTTTCCTCCCTCCCTCCCTTCCTTCCTCCCTCCCTTCTGCCACCCATCCTCCCTCCTTTCCTTCCTATTTCTACATTCTACTTTTCCAGCCCAAACCTAAAGTAGTTAAGGAAAAACAACAATGTCAACGCAACAAGATCAAAACAACCCACACGAGGCACAACAAATCACACTGAAAAACTGACAAGATCTGCCCGCACTACCGTTCACAATAACCTTTCAGGCATTTAAATGTCAGCTCTTCTCAAGCCCATACAGTATCTTGGAAACCTGGTTTCTGTGTTTAGCTGACATTTGACAAATGATTTCCTGAAAGGCACCAGTTATGAAGCAACATATCTTTTCCCTTGCAAAGTGCTTAACATGCATAACCATAAACAAAAGGAAGTGCAAACTTGGACAATAATGGGACCCTCTTCACCCAGTGGTTTTTTGTTTTTTGGCCAAAACCCTGAGAACAGAAACCTTTCCAGTTTTGGGAATACTATAATAAGTCTTGACACACATTTTATGTTTAAAAGGCAGGGTTGTTTCTTTGGGGTGGGTCAGACAGGGAAATGGTTAAATTGCTGTTAATTATTAAGTTCGGGTTTTAGTTAGCAGAACAGTCACCTGCTTAGATAAGGGGTGCTTTGGGGCACATTCCATGTCTTGGACCCACTCCGCAAATGGTGGGAGTGGACCAAAGAGACAAGATCATGAAGCTGCAAAGACAATCCTGTATTTCTACCTTGCCCAGGCAAGCCAGAAAGTCAACACCGGGAGGAAAACAGGGGGGAAAAAAATAGACCCTCTCACCTCTAATCAGGTGCTGCCGTCTTCGCAGGTAGGTCTCGTAGGCAGTGTAGTCGCTATAGACCGTGTTCATGCCAAAACTCTTGCTCTCCAGCCAGTGGGTAGCAGCCAAGCCTCGCGCACAGACCGCCAAAGCTCTCACTTTTAGTCCTTTGGCTACATCCAACACCACTCGGCCGGAAAGCAGCTCTCCTCCCCGGTAAGCGACTCCAGGACCGCGTCCTGCGTCCAGCTCCAGCATAAAAGTGCGGATCCTGCTGAAATGCTGCATTTCGGGCTGCAGGGGACCTCCAAGCAAGCCGCTGGAGAGCGAGACAGGTTGGAGGCTGCTTCTGAAGCAGGAGCGCGATGTTGGCAGGGTGTCTTTTTTTTTCTTTTCTTTTTGGTGCAACTGCTCTTCAGCACGTAGCCCTGAGCTGTGTGCTCCACAGCACAAGTGATGTGTATCAGATCAGGCCTTCCGATGTGCAGGTGTGGTGCAGAATCCACGGGTCTGGAGATGCTCCTTATCTCAGTCGAAGGGCCCGGGGTTTGGAGAGGGAAGACCTGAGCTTTGCCTACAACCGCTATCTGCAATCACACAAGGGGGACTGGCTGGCTGATTCTCTTTCCTGTTGACTTTATTAGGTGCATCGCCTTGCCTTAACTGTACAACTGACAGCAACAGGCGAGGAGCGTCAGCAGCTGAGACACCTCCCACTCCTGCTCCCCCCACCCTCCCCACCCCCACTTCTTTCTTTCAGGGAGTGTCTCCAAAGTGCAGCGTGCAAAGACGTCGCTCGGCCCTAGGCGCGGAGATGACAATAAACGCAGGATGGAGGTGGAGAAGTTCAAGCCAGTCATTTCCCTGCTGCGCATTTTTTGACACTTGCATATTTGCATTTAACCCTTCGCGATAGGGATAGCAGCCGCTTTTTAATTTGGTTTTTGGATGAGCAGAAGAATGATTTCGAATGGGCAAATGCTCACGTTCTGCATGGTTGTTGGTTACCAATTAATAACTATTTCCAGGGTTAATTCTATTTTGTTATAATGTTGTTAAAAACTGGTATTGTATATGAAATGCTCCTAATTATATATTTCTCTCTCTCTCTCTCTGTGTATACGTCCACACTTGACAGTCACATTTGCCTAATTTACCTAATAGTTTTAAGTTGTTTTGGGTGTTTAATTATTGATCATTGGGTTTTATTTGGAAAAGTAGAGCAGAAAAATATTAATTGAACATGGAAGGATATACCTACTTATACACATAGTGTGTTCATGAGCATTCATTTGTATTTCCTTATGTGTGTATTTGTGTGCATTTTTCTATTTGGAAGATTGCAGATTTATCTATTCGGAAGATTCATATATCACCACAAAGTATATATGCATGTTTGTATATATTTATTTAAAACATAAGGATCCAACCTTTTGGTTTGCCTGGGCCACACTGAGTGGAGAGGAATTGGCATGGGCCACATATAGAATATAGTTAATGTATATAAATCACATAATATAATTAAAAGATTGTAATCTGGTGAGGCTGGCAGTTGTTCAGGGCCACATGCAGCCTATGGGTTGGAGATGCCTGATTTAAAAAATTTATATGGCTGCCTCAACAAAAAAGTAAGAACATAATTACCAACTATTGTAAGTATTACGGTATAAAGAAACCTGTTTTAATTTGAATCCCAAACCCATGACACCATAGTTTCTGTTCCCCATGGTTTGTGATTTGATTGCTGCACTTTTATCTCTAACTTTTGAATTAGTACAATTGTTCTTAGACTTATTTTAGAAATGATTGAATGGTTTAGAAACTACTTATTTTAGAAATTGTATGCTTATGGCAGCATTGTCTAAGTGAAGATCTGTTTTGTGTGTCGAGTGTTGTTTGGGCTCACATTCAATTCTTGAATCCAAGGGTCAGTCTCAATGCTCCATGTATATGATTAGGCTTTTATTGGGTATCCTCATTTTCTGACTGGAAAAAGAGCCCTCAGGAATTCTCTTGCTAAGATTCCCTTCAAAGCTAAGAATTATGATTAGAATTGGAGTGGGGGAAGAAAAAAGGGATATTGACTGTTGGAAAGCTGACTATACTATCTGGAACGAGCTTCCCCCGGAGATCCCGGATCTGCGCACTTTCCGCTGTGCTTTGAAGACACTCCTATTCCAGCAGGCCGGCCTGGCCTAATTTTTTCCCCTTCTTTTAAATTTTTAAACTCAAATTTTAATTTGTTTTAAATTATTGGGAGTTTTAAATGGTCTCCGGCAAAAATTATTTAATTAGGTTTTAATCATGTTTTAACTTTCGTATTTATGTGTTTTATTTTGTGCCTCTTCACCGCCCTGAGTCCTTCGGGAGTAGGGCGGTATACAAATTTAATAAAATGAAAAATGAAATGAAAATACATCTTAAATTTTGTGTCCCTAAACAAATCGTTGCACTTGTAAATTTAAGATTAGGTGCTTGGGATGCAATCGAATCTAAATTCAATCTAGCAGTTGTCTAATTTAGCAGCTCATCCAAGTGCAAATCCTACTTCAGTCTAGCCACTCAATGCATCTAATGAAGGCAGCTACAGCTCATGAAACCTCTAAATAAACTTGGTTAGTGAGAAAAGCTACCAGAATCCTTCTGGAGAATTTATGTAATCCAAGTAGACAATACAAAATTAGATAGATTACTAGATAAATGGGACCTGATTTATTCATTCAAACATCTCAGTTACAGAGACATTTTTCAAGAACCAAGCTTCTTTCTGGGTTGATACTTGACCATCGTGCCAAGGGGAACATTGCTCCCTTGGAAGTCTGCCGTCGCGAGTGTGATTGGTCCACTGTACTTGTTTGTGTAGGCATCTCTCTGTTCAGTGCTGAACCAACGTTTCCCCTTCCATGGGTGGACAAAATGGGAATATTTAATCTGGAAAGGCAGAAAGGTCAAAGAATAAATCTTTTACAATATAGTTTTATTGTCATTGGTCATTCAAATCCTGCCCTCCTTGTGATATTTGCAGCATACAGGATGGGCAGGACAATTTAGAAATGGTAAGATCCTGTGAGAAATTAGTACAATAATTATAAACAATACAATGATGCTGAAAATAGGTGCAAATATATTTATTTATTTACTTATCTATATACTATTCTGGCTGAAATCACCAAGGTAACTCTAGGCAGTTTAAATTTATTTTATTTTATTTTATTTATATATTAGAATTTGTCAAACAAAAACGAGAACAAGTATTGGAGCATTGAGACCGACCCTTGGGTTCAAGAATAAAAGAATAAAAATACAATGACAGGGATGCTATCCACATTAGTACACTTATGCACGCCCCCTCTACTGGGATTAAAACAATAACAAAACAGTAAAGTTTACTTTACCACTTACTGGGGAGGATATCCAACTCAAAAGGATTAAACCATAAAAATAAACTATTAGGAAGATGATTCACCACAGCCTACTCCAGGGCTGCTGAAAACAAAGTTTTCACAGCTTTTTGAATGCCCAACAGAGTTTGTGCCATGTGGATTTCAGAGGCAGACTCCGTTCCAGGGAAGGCATTCCTCCTAAACTCCACAAGATCAGACCATACATAGTGCTTTACAGCTCAGTCCCCCAAACCCTCCCAATCTTGACTCCATAGCAGAGTTGGTGTCCACCAGCCGGAACGTGAATGCATAACTGAGTCCAATTTTTTTGTAAGCCACCCAGAGTCAATAAGAGTGAGTGGGTGGCCATATAACTTTACTAAATAAAATAAAAAAATAAAATTAGAAAGCTAGCAAGTGAAACAGCCTCTTGAACTGAGAAGATATCCAAGAAGCAAAACAGGATAGAGCCATGATGGTGAACCTATGGCAAGCGTGCCAGAGGTGGCACTTAGAGCCTGCTCTGCTGCCGTCACCCCAGGTCAGATCTCCATGGCGTTTCTTTCGTGAGCTGTTTCCCTGCAAACGACGAAACAGAAGCTCAGGAAAGAAAAAGATCTTACTTCTTGCCGTGCTGCTGGTGTTGGGATGCCCCGCCTCCTGCCAACCAGCTGTTCACGCATGTCCGCACATGTGCATATCGACACATGTCTGTGCATGCGCACGTTCACACATATCCATGCATGCATGTGTTCGTGCATGTCCACACATGGGCATGTTCGCACGTTTGTGTGCACCTATCAGTTTGGGTGTGTGCGCGCACATGCAGTTTGGGCACTTGATGTCTAAAAGGTTTGCCATCACTGGGATAGAGGGTCCAATAGATCACAGAGGATCACAGAGGATTTTCAGGAAAATTAAAATACCCTCCCCCCAAGCTGGTTAATAGGAAAGGAGATTGTTCTTTCGGTAGTTTGGGCCTAGGTTAATATCCAATTAATATTTCTTCAATGGGAATTCTTGCTTAAAAGCGAGCTCCTGATCACGCTGTCTGAAATATCCAACAGAGCTAGCAAGAGAAGGGAAGGGAAAGAAGGGAAGGCAGAGAAAGAAGAGCTGGCTAGTTTTGAATTCGGAGACTGAGATACAAGTTGAAAAGATGGAGAGGGGAAAAGGATGCTACTAAAGATGGTCTTCAGAAGATCTATTATCCTGTAGAAGAGGGATCTGCAAACTCAGGAACTTTTAAGACTTGTAGACTTCAACTCCCAGAATTCTTCAATGGCTGTCAGAGGAATTTTGGGAGTTGAAGTCCACAAATCTTAAAAGTTGCCATATTTGGAGACCCCCTGCTGTAGATGGGACCAGTTGCTATCACATAACTAGAGTAGTTAGTCAACTCTGGTTGGTCTCAAAAAGCTAGGCAGCATCCAACCTGGTTAGTATTTGGATAGAGGTCTTACAAGAATTCAGAACAGTAGAATAGACTAGGAAGTAAAAAAAAAACCCAAAAACACCCTTCTGTACTATTGCCAAAAATCCTACACTGATGTGTAGGTGGAATCATCAGATCTAATGTGTGATTTGAAGGGAACTTTATCTTTTTTCACCAGGAATACTTAGAGGAAGTACAGTATCAATGAGAAAGGGTGTTTTTTTCCTCTGACATGGCCCAGCTGACAATGCCAAGCGTGTGGGAGAGATATCACATGCTTCAGTAGGGCATTCAAGACAATAAGAAGAACCTTCCTAACCTTTTGCAGGTCTTCTTCTGTCAGCTGATACTTCCTCCCTTGGTGAGGAACAAGCATATCTTGAGTTGTAGTGGTGTTGAAGGTGGGCACTCCAGGCCCTGAATGAAAAACAGAATAACAGAGTAACCGTTGGAAGGGGCCTTGGAGGTCTTCTAGTCCAGTCCCCTGCTCAAGCAGGAGACCCTATACCATTCCAGAGAAGTGGTTGCCTAGTCTCTTAGAAAACAGAATATTTAAGAATCAAACATTGCTTTCCCTCCTACAAAAAGTCAGAAAGATTACATAAGAGTTACGTCAAGATACATCTCGAATGGAACAAAAAAAAGGGTGAAAATTATCTCCTCTCAGATCAAACTGTCACATTCACACACATAAACTGACTTACAGTTCATTGCCCAAGCAACTAAGGAACACATGAAGCCACGAAAAATACAGGTTAAAAATAGCTGAACTTAATCTGTTGAATGAATGCAGTCACTAGGTTTGTAACTGACCTGATTAAGTGCATTATGTAAGCATACTTACTGATTATTTTTCTAATTGGGGGAATCTCATGAATTCTTCTCCTACAATAATTCCAAACCACAACTATATATAAGGATACCTAGGTCATTATCATGATTTCATGATAAACATCAACTTTTTCATATGGAAATATTAGGGGCATATAATTTCCTGTTAATTTTTTCCTTTCCCTCCTCCAAGAACATTTGTTTCTCATAGGATTGTGAGCCATGGTGGCGCAGTGGTTAGAATGCAGTACTGCAAGCTGCTTCTGCTGACTGCCAGCAGTTCGGCAGTTTGAGTCTTACCAGCTCAAGGTTGACTCAGCCTTCTATCCTTCCGAGGTCTGTAAAATGAGGATGCAGTTTGTTTGGGGCAATATGCTGATTCTGTAAACCGTTTAGAGAGGGCTGTAAAAGCACTATGAAGCGATATATATGTATATATATATAAGTCTAAGTGCTATTGCTATTATCTGTTTATTTCAATATGATATCTCCAATGGCATCTTCTGTCAGAGGTGAGAATGAACAATATAGTTTTATTCTGTCTAATAAACATTCTTTTGGCAGGGCTCCTGAGGTTGGAGGGCAGAGTGCTGGTGAAAGTGGATATGATGATACAGGAGATACTTTAGAACATAGAATCATAAGGCTGGAAGGGACCTTAGAGGTCTTCTAGTCTAACCCACTGCTCAAGGTAGGAGATTTTATACCATCCCAGTCAAGCTATTCCATTGTTTAATTGTTCTCATGGTCAGAAAATACCTCCTTATTTCTAAGTTAGATCTCTCTTTAACAAGCTTCTACCCTGACTTCCTGTCCTGCCCTCTTGTGTTTTGGAAAATAAGTCTGTTTCCTCTTCTCTATGGCAGCCCGTCAAGTACTGGAAGACAACTTTGTAATTTCATCATTTCATAAATATTGAACTAAATGAGGTGCCATCTCATTTTTTCAAAAGGAAGTCTGGCAACCAATTTCTTTGCTGGCGATTTCTATGTACTGTATACAGGTAGTCCTCCACTTACAACTACAACTGAGCCCCAAATTTGTGTTGCTAAGCAAGACAGTTGTTTTGTCCCATTTTATGGCCTTTCTTGCCACAATTGTTAGGTGAATCACTGCAGTTGTTAAGTTAGCAACACAATTGCTAAGTGAATCTAGCTTCCCCATTTTCTTTGCTTGTCAGAAGGTTGCAAAAGGTGATCACATGACCCCAGAACACTGCAACCGTCATAAATATGAACCAGTTGTCAAGCATCAGAGTTTTGATCACATGGCCAGGGGGATGCTGCAAGGGTCGTAATTGTGAAAAACTATCATAAATCACTTTTTTTGCTGTTGTAACTTCTGCCACTAATAAAACTTTCTCTTTTAACTAGGTGAAAACCGTGGGAACTTTTAGAGTCAGTTTAATGTCAGCGTTCCAAGTAATAGATCCATAGCAAGCAAAACTCCAAGGAAGAGAGATTCCTCAAGGAATAGCTTTATTGGAAATGTCATATTGGCACCTATCTGGTGAAAACCGATATGCGTTCCCACGGTTTTCACCTAGTTAAAAGAGAAAGTTTTCCCACAACCCCAAACAATCAGTCACATGGCCCAATCAAGTCACTGTCTGGTCATCTGGTGACCTCACTTCTCCTTCCACGGTCCAACTATGGGAATGACCTTGGTTCTCAAGAGAAAGTATTTTGTTTTGGCTACACCAGGGGTGTCAAACTCAAGACCCAGGGGCCGGATCTGGCCCACGGGGTGCTTAAATCTGGCCCACAGGGCTGGCCTGGAAATAGCAAAGGATAGGCTTGTGGTGCCCCGTTTTGGCTGACACAGTGTTGCAGGAGGCCATCCAGGTCGAAAATGGGGTGCGGGGGGCACGCATGGCAACCCCCCCACGCCCCCATTTTGTACAGCAGGGTGCTGCAGAAGGCATCCGTCCTGTCTCCCCCCCACCCCCCCGCTGGCCCACAGAGAACTACAATGCTGATCCAGCCCTTGAAGAAATCCAGTTTGACACCCCTGAGCTACACAAACCCCTCTATCTTAATCCCCCATCCCTATCCCTCAACTCCAGTGTGGTAGCACTGAAGCTTCAATATGGCTTTGGTCAGGTCAGCTTCAGGGTTGACAGCAGTGGTGGGCTGCCCCCGGTTTCGACCGGTTTGCAAGAACTGGTAGTAAAACCGGCAGGAGGCCCATCCACCGCCCCGGATGTCGTCATCAGCGATCTGTGCATGTGCAGAAGTAAGGCACATGCGCGGAAGTAAGGCATGCATGTGAGCAAAGCGATCCCGTTGCAAACCGGTAGTAAAGGTAAGTAGAACCCACCCCTGGTTGACAGGTTATAAGTCGAGGACTACCGGTGTGTGAATGAGAACCCTGTAAGACTTAGCTCATGATCCCACCTGAAATAAATAGGACTGTACCTTCATAGTTGAGGAAAATGTGGCTATCAGTTGAAGTTTTGTTTTTGGAATCCAATTTGTGTATTTCAGGAGGTGGCTGATAGTCAGAATGATGGATACTTTGAAACAATGGCAACAACTGTTTATCTCCCAAGCACAGCTTTGTTGGTGGTTGAGTCCGTGGCTGGGTCACAAAGTCCTTTGCGTTTGGCTGAGTGGAGAGAAGACATGAATACTTTTATGTGTCCTGAATCTTTCCCCGTTCAGCTTCATTCAATAATCCTGAATTTAAAAGCACATTAAGAAAACTATTTTCTTCTCTTCCTTTTCTTAACATTGCAGATGTCATAGTAAAAATGTGAAATTCATTGCTATATGATTTACTGTTCAGATAGCTTTTAAATCTGACCCAGATGGCTTTCTTTATAGATCTCTTTTCCTTGACAGCAGCTGAGGATAGGAAATAGCCTAGAAATATAAAATTATAAAATAAAATATAAAATTATAAAATAAAAATAGCAAATAGCTAGAGCAGTGTTTTTCAACCATGACAGTTTGAAAATGTGTGGACTTCAGTTCCTAGAATTCCTCAGACAGCATGGCTAGCTGGGGAATTCTGGGAGTTGAAGTCCACACATCGTTGAAATCCACAGCTAGACTAAGTTACATCCAAGATTAAATTCTTAACAATGAGAAGCTGGGTATTACCGCTTTGTAGTAAAATTGGTTGTTGGTTATACCGGTGCATTTTCTCTTCTCATTGTGATCTCCTAGGAGAACAAACGACTCATTCTTTTTGGAGTTAGAATAGGATGGAGGGCCTGGAAAAACCACAAAGACAGAGAATAGATGGAGACTTAATCAGAACTGTGGTTCAGTCCTGGGATTTTTAGTGCCAGAGGAGTAAAAAATGTAAAAGGTAAATGGTAAATGGTGAGCAGGCCAGGATCCAAATTCTGTTGATCCCCATCTCACCTCTTCCACACACATCTAAGAGTGTGGTGGTGCAGTGGACTAAAGTGCTGTTAAGTAGCACTTGGCTGCCAGCTGCCTGCAATTACTGCAAGTTCAAATCTCACCAGGCTCAAGGTTGACAGCCTTCCATCCTTCCGAGGTAGGTAAAATGAGGACCCGGATTGTGGGGGGGCAATAAGCTGACTTTGTATAAAAAAAGAACACCGCTTAGGGTAAGGTGACCAGACGTCCCACTTTTGGCGGGATAGTCCCGATTTTTAGCAATTTGTCCCAGGTCCCACGGCGTTTTAAAAAAGTCCCGATTTTTCATTCTGCCTCCTGAGTCCCGGCTGCCTCCTGAGTCCCAGCTGATGGCTAGAGGGAAAAAAACAGTTTAAACTCTTGCCGCGGGGCTTCAAAGGGCCGCCCTACAGGTGATCAGTGTTAAAAGAAAACAAATGAGTAGACCGATGCCTGCAAAAACAGCCCCTTGCAGCTTCCGCATAGGTTAATTAGCACAAGTTGATTAGCTCGGCTTCCCCACTTTCAGCTGATTTGCTCTCAGCTGTTTTGCGCAGGGCTCTGTTCTGTTGCTAGCTGCAAAGAGTTCCTGGAGCAGATTTTTTCCCCCCTAGCTATGCTGAAAAAGGAAACTGAAAGTAAAGAAGGGTCTTTGCTGCAATGTGACAAAATGAGGCAGAGAGAGATTTCTTTTTCTTTTTCCTCACCAAAAAAGGTAGGTGCAAAACTGCAAACAATGGGAAATTTAGGGCAAAAGAGGAGAGTTCAAGATTTTAAAACACAAAAGAAAAAAAGCTCTATTTAACTAGGGAATTGTAATAATTGAGATACTATTAATTGTATATTGTGTTGAAAGCAGAAATGGTTAAGTTATGGTTTGGAGGAATATATGGGGGAAATTATTTGGTTTATTATTATTGGTAAATATAATTAATTGATTTGTAAGAAATTGGATTGCCTGGAAATAATTGGAATATTCATGTTCATATTGATTAATATACAAAAAAGATAGTTATATAACTAATTGATTTATATTAAAATGTTGAATTTGTATTAAACAACTGTATTACATAATTACATAATTAACCAATGTGAGGATGGATATAAAAATAGATGACAATGCGAAGGGGTATAATATAGAATAGAAGGGAAAAATTGAATTTGATTAAGATTAGAGATGAGGATGAAGGGTAATATTGTTTTTTTTAAAAAAATAGATGAGGAATAAATATGGCAAAAAGGAAATATAGAAATTGTAAATTTAATTGAAATGACTAAACACTTTTTAAATTTGTGAACCGGCCAAATACTCTGTTCAAAGAAAATACATTGTATGTTTGTATGTGTGTTTCTAATTATTGTTATTTATTCATATTTGTTCTCTTTTATTCTTTAAAGTTTAACAATTCATTCTTTATCTTAATATCTGTATATTTGTTTGGGGTTGGCTTTCTTCCCTTTCATCTTTTTTATTGTACAGCAATCTTTCTCCTCAAACCTACCACCTCTCTCTTTTCTTTCCTTCTTATTTTCTCTTCCCCCCACCCTCTTCTTCTCCTCCCTACTTCCTTTCTCCTTCTCCTCCTCTCTTCCTCCCTCTCTTACCCTCACTCCTACTCTAATTTCCCTTCCCTTCCTTCATCCCTCTCTATTGCTGTATCCTTTTATGCATATGGACTACTCAGAGGGCTGAAAAAGTTATTTTTGACTGGTCCTCACACTTTTGATCAGTCCTCGAACTTACGACTGTCCTCACATTTTACATTTTTGCCCTATCTTGTCATCATGGTGAAGAGAAGCAGTTGTGAAATGAGTGACATGGTTGTTAAGAATGCTGCACGAGCATAAATGTGAGGATGGTCATAAGTGTGAGGACCAGTCAAAAGTGCGAGGACCTGTCAGAAATGACTTTTTTCAGCCCTCTGGTTAGTCCTTTTGTGCATATGGACTACTCAGAGGGCTGAAAAAGTTATTTTTGACTGGTCCTCGCACTTTTGACCAGTCCTCGAACTTACGACTGTCCTCACATTTTACGTTTTTTGCCCTATCTTATCACCATGGTGAAGAGAAGCAGTTGTGAATGAGTGACATGGTTGTTAAGAATGCTGCACGGGCATAAATGTGAGGATGGTCATAAGTGTGAGGACCAGTCAAAAGTGTGAGGACCTGTCAGAAATGACCTTTTTCAGCCCTCTGAGTAGTCCCTATGCACATAGCCATGGCCACCCGGTCACATGACCAGCTAGCCACGCCCACCCAGTCACATGACCTCCAAGCCACTCCCACAAAATAAGCCACGCCCACAATGGTGTCCCTCTTTACCAATGTTAAAATCTGGCCACCTTAGCTTAGGGGGGGCCAAAAGCCCTACTAAGCAGATATATACAAAAGTATGACGGCTATTGCTTAACGCATTGTAAGCTGCCCTGAGTCTCCGGAGAAGGGCGGCATATAAATCGAACCAATCAATCAATCAATCAATCAATCAATCAATCAATCAATCAATCAATAAATAAATAAATAAATAAATAAATAAATAAATCTTTCAGATGCACTCATCCCATACCTCACTCAAGTGTGTACATAGAGAGTGGGAGTCAAAAAGTCAAGCTATTTTTTTACCTGCAGAATTTTGATCACACATTGTGACCACCTTCCTGACATTTTTGACCCTTCCGCAGACTCCCCTGATCCCATTCATGCCCACACTTTTACTGTATGTGGATGAAAAAATGTAGTACAGGTAGTCCTCAATGTATGACAACAATAGAGCCCCAAATTTCCGTTGCTAAGCAAGACAGTTATTAAGCAGCATCCTCACAGTCACATGATCAAAATCCAGACACTTGCCATGTATGACCCACGGTTGCAGCATGTGATTGCCCTTTGCCATTTGCGGTCAAGTGATCGCCATTTGCAATCTTCCCAGCTGGCTTCTGACAAGCAAAGTCAATGGGGGAAGCTGGATTCGCTTAACAACTGCATGATTCACTTAACAACTGCAGTGATTTGTTCAACAGATGTGGCAAAAAAAAAAAGATTGCAAAATGGGGTGCGACTCATTTAACCGCTTTAATTAGCAATGGGAATTCTGGTCGAATTGTGGTCGTAAATCGAGGACTATCTGTATTTACTTCACAACCATCTCTTGCCTATTTCCTCTGGGTGCCCAGATTTTTTAAAAAACCAAAGTAATATCACAAACAAAGTAGGGAGATGGGGAAATTGACCAGGGGAAGCATTGGCTCCAGCAGTCCATTTCTAATACACAAGGAGCCATGGAAATAATGAGCAGTGGAGCAGAAAGAAACGTACATCTTTTAGGGGACAGCTCCTTTCTTCATACAGAAACTCCCTCCTCTGAGTACTTGGCTCCAGGTACAATCATTCAGGAGATTTGTCAAGGCCTTCACAGATCAAGGGAAGAGGAGGAGGCCTCCAAGGTTCCATTCAAACCATGGACTAGAACCGTGATGGTGAACCTATGGCATGCGTGCCACAGGTGGCACGCGTAACCATATCGATGGGCACATGAGCTCAGCATGCATGTGCCGGCCAGCTGATTTTCTGGCCTTCTGGGCCCACTAGAAGTAGGGAAACAGGCTGTTTCCTGCCTCCGGAAGGGTGGTGGGGAAGGCCCATTTTTCTCTCTTCCCAGGCTCCAGAGCCTTTCTAGGAGCTTGGGGAGGGCGAAAACAGCCTTCCCCACCCCCCTGGAGGCCCTCCAGAGGCCAGAAACAGCCCATTTCCCAACTTCCAGAAGGCCCATTTTTTGCTCCTAGAAAGGCTCTGGAGCCTGGGGAGAGAGAAAAATGGGCCTTCCGGGCCCACCATGCCATCGTGTGCCAGGAGTGGGTGGGGTCGCATGCGTGGGGGCAGGGCACATAGAATTATGAATGTGGGCATGCGTGTGAGCAACCCCCCCCCCCTTTCTGCCCCCTCCTGGCACACGATGGCAAAAAGGTTAGCCATCACTGGACTAAAAGTTTCCCATCCTCCTCTAGTAGTTTCGAATTAAGAATAATATCTCTAAGCATAGAGAGAGTGAATTCCTGTCTCTTGCCCTTAAGGCGATCTTTTGCACATTGAACAGATGCACTGTTGAAAATGGGATCAATTGAGGGGACCCTGGTGCTCTCTGAGCTTGGTTGTTTTCTTGTATAGTGGTACCTTGGTACTCAACCTCTTTGATACTTATCTGATTTGGTACTCAACACATTTTTACGCAACAATTTTGTCCCAGGACTCATTGTTTGTTTCGTACTCAATACACAAGCCAAAACTTGTCTATGTTGGCTGCCTTATAACTCATTACATTATTCCAATTGTTTGGTACTCATCATTTTTGGTATTCATTGTGCCTCCCAGAACAAATTAATGATGAGTACCGAGATACCACTGTAAATATTTCATTATCTAAACTAGATAACATCAACAGTGCTAGTTACAAGCACTGATGATGTTACCTAGTTAGGGTAATGAAACGCCTGCAAAAAAACAAGCAAACTCAAAGAGCACCAAGGACCCCTCATTTCAATCCTGAGCTACAAATATTCTCCTTTATGGAAACAACTCTTTGACCTTATGAACCTGTTTTGACAACTGGCATAAGTGATGACAGAGAGATTTTGGTAAAGTTCCCATCTCATCTTACTGAAATGAGTGAAATGATCTCATCTTAGCGAAATGAGTTTCTGTATTTAAAAAGAAAAAGGAACTTTCTGTCTTCCTTTCTCTCTTGTTCTTCCTTCTTTTCTAGATGCCCTTGAAGCAGAAGTAAGATATTTCTATCCTTATGTGTATATTAAGAAATTTACCCTGTTTTCCTGAAAATAAGACTCAACCGGAAAATAAGCCCTAGCATGATTTGTCAGGATGCTTGTAATATAAGCCGTACCCCCAAAATAAACCCCAGTTAAGATTGTCAGCCAAATAGACGCATTTAGTACTGTATTTCCCCGAAAATAAGACCTGACCAAAAGAACAAGCCCTAATGCGTGTTTTGGAACAAAAAATAATATAAGACCTGGTCTTATTTTTGGGGAAACACAGTATAAGAATCTAGTAGCACTTTTTTTTTTAACTTCCAGGTGATTCTCTGCTCATTTAGCAACCATTCAAAATTACAATGGTGCTGAAAAAAGTTAGGCCTGATCATCGCACTTACAACCATCACAGTGTCCTTACATGATCAAATTCAGGCACTTGGCAACCACCATGTAATTATTTTATTTATTTATTTATTTATTTTTCAAATTTCTATACCGCCCTTCTCCTTTTGGACTCAGGGCGGTGAACAGCCAAAATAAAACATTTGTACACAAAAGTTAAAATAGGTTTAAAATAATTAAATAAGGTTTGGCCCATAATTTAAAACATATCAATTAAAATCAATATCAAAATTTTTAAAAAAAACCATAAAATCAGGACAGCCTGGCTAACTGAAAAAAATAGGTTTTAAGGGCCTGACGAAAGGTCCAGAGGTCTGGGATCACTCGTATCTCTGGGGGTAGATTGTTCCAGAGGGTAGGTGCTACCACAGAGAAGGCTCTCCCCCTGGGGGTCACCAGCTGACATTGCCTGGCCGACGGCACCCTGAGGAGGCCCTCTCTGTGGGAGAGAACTGGCCGGTGGGAGGCAATTGGTGGCAGAAGGCGGTCTCGTAAGTACCCTGGCCCTAAGCCATGGAGCGCTTTAAAGGTGATCACCAACACCTTGAAACGCACCCGGAAGTCCACCGGGAGCCAATGCAGTTCGCGCAGGAGAGGAGTCACATGTCGCTCCCATAATCCCCCACCATATTATGGTGGCAGCCTCACAGGGTCACATTATCATTATTTGTGACCTTCCCAGATAGTTTCTTTTCCAATAAGAAAGGTCAGTGGGAGAAGCTGGATTCATGTAACAACTGCATGATTCGCTGGATGACCGCAGGAAAAAGGTAATAAAATTGGGATATCAGTCACAACAACTGCCTCACTTAGCAATGGAAATTCTGGTCCCAATTGTGATCATAAGTCAAGGACTACTTGTACAAGGTTTATAAAAGGCATAAGCTTTCATAAACTTCATCCAGATGCAGAGAATGTCTTATGTATGATTTCAATTACATCTAATGTTCCTTTTCCATCAAATGTCACAAATGTTCTTTTAGCATTCATTAATAGCTGGGCGAAGACCATGCTTTGCATTCAAGATTTATATATGTCATCCATCCACCCACCCACATGTATGAACATACGCACAGATACTTTGTCTCTCTCTCTCTCTGTGTAATGGTACATTGTGCTGCTCAGTATTACAGGCAGTTCTCGACTTACAACAGCTCGTTTAGTGACTATTCAAAGCTATAACAGCATTGAAAAAGTGACTTATGACCGTTTTCACATTTACGACCATTGCAACATCTCTAGGATCACATCATCAAATTTTGGACGCTTGACAAATGACTCGTATTTATGACGGGTGCACTGTCCTGTGGTCACATGATCACCATTTACGACCTTCTGACAAGAAAATCAAGCCAGATTCACTTAACAACTGTTACTAACTTAAAAACTGCAATGATTCACTTAACAATTATGGCAAAAAAGGCTGCTCACTTAACAACTGTCTGTTGCTTAGTGACAGAAATTTTGGGCTCAGTTGTGCCCATAAGTTGAGGACTACCTATAATTCACTTATCCTATTACAGGGGTTCTGCTGAATTTGGATCTCTAATATATACATTGTGCAGGGTATATATTATTGGGCATGTTGCATATTTAACAGAGTTGGAGACACTGCCTGAGTTGTTGTAATCTTGGTTCCCTCTCTATCACCATACCAGGTTGCTGCCATAAGTATGATTCAGACATGATAGTAGAAAACCTGTGTTGCCCATCTCCAGGCTGAACGTTTGAATGGTGAACCATCGCTGAGGCAATATGTGGGTCATAGCTGTGGGAGAAAATTTGAATTACTAGTGATTAAAAATAATGAACTTAATACTTTATTAGATTTCTAAGGCTGCAAATCAAAGAAAATTCAAGATGGTACACAAAAATTGAAATCATATGAAGAGTGCAGTCATCAAATCACGAGATAGACAAAGTTTACACAAAGCTGGAGTGTCACAAATGGCTATTAAGCATTGAATAGGGCAGTGATTCTCCACCTTGGCAACTTTAAGATGTTACTGTTGGCTGAGGAATTCTGGGATCTGAAGTCCCCACATCTTAAAGTTGCCACAGTTGAGAAATACTAGAATAAGGGGTGAATGTTTCTACAGAAAACTGTTCCCCCTCAATCTATCATAATGACACAACGACAAAATGTACACATACAGTACAAATTAGTTCAACTATAACTTCAATTGTTGTTGTTGTTAGTCGTGAAGTTGTGTCCGACCCATTGTGACCCCATAGACAATGTTCCTCCAGGCATTCCTGTCCTCTACCATCCCCCGGAGTCCATTTAAGCTCACACCAGCTGCTTCAGTGACTCCATCTAGCCACCTCATTCTCTGTCGACCCCTTCTTCTTTTGCCCTCAATGCTTCCCAGAATTAGGCTCTTCTCCAGGGAGTCCTTCCTCTCATTAGGTGGCCAAAGTATTTGAGTTTCATCTTCAGGATCTGGCCTTCTAAAGAGCAGTCAGTCCTCTAGAACTGACTGATTTGATCGCCTTGCAGTCCAAGGGACTTGCAGGAGTCTTCTCCAGCACCATAGTTCAAAGGCCTCAAATTCTTTGGCGCTCAGCCTTCTTTATGGTCCAGTTTCACAGCCAACTTTCATAACTTCAATAGCATTCTCCAAATATATACTATACATTATTTTCCAAAAGGAACTAATTAGAGAACCAGACTTTGTTAAAATCCTTAACCTTGTTTCAATATAAAACAGGCTTTAACAAATTAAGAACAACAGTTCCAGTTAACTTTGCTGGCAGGGAATTTTATATAATGCAGTCCCAATGCATTTGAGGATTGGGGAAAGCTGGTATAATCTTAGTCAACAACTACAGCAAAGTCTTATAATTGTATAAATTTTAAAAGGCCAAATCTCAGGAGATGCTAGGATCTATAAAAACAGATGATGATGATGATAATGATGATGTTGTGATAATGATGATTTAATTACCAGTAGGTGGCACCATCTAGCTGACCTTGCCTAAGCTAGGAGACTACAGTAACCACACTATAGTAAATATCTGGAAGCCAAAGGCTATATTTCAGATTTCAGACTTTAGGCCAGATATAGATATATGCAACCCACAACACACACGCCAGAAAAAGGCAATGATATTGTAAATCATATTGTTTAAGAAAACTGATTCATTACATCCATGTAAATCCCCAGTAGTCAAGCTTGAGTCAAAAATAATTTTACTTTCTAATTTTTCAAATGAACTTTTTTAAAACCAAAGAAGACAGGTAGCAGCATTAAAAGGGTGATAATATCATTGAGAGTCACGCTGATAAACCTTGTTGCATGTCATCTTGGAAGCCTAGTATTAGAAAGATAAACTATACAGATAGTCCTCAACTTACAGTAGTTTGTTTAGTGACTGCTCAAAATGATAACAAACTGAAAAAAGTGACTTATGGTCATTTTTCAGACTTATGACCATTGCAGCATCCTCATGGTCACCTGATAAAATTTCAGGTGCTTGGCAACTGAGTCATAGTTATGACAGTTGCAGTGTCCCGGGGGTGTCATGTGATCAACTTTTATGACCATCTGACACACAAAGACAATGTGGAAGCCGGATTCACTTAACAACTGGGTTACTAACCTAACAATTGCAGTGATTCACTTAACAAATGTGGCCAACACAGTCAAAAAAATGGGGCAAAACTCATTTAACATCTGTCTCAAGTAGCAACCGAAATTTTGGGCTCAATTGTAGTCATAAATCGAGGACTACTTGTAAACATTTTAAGCAATTGAAAGAAAATCATGAGTATAACCAAAGGACATCCAGGTATGTTTCTTAAAAGATTGGTTAATGTGGAAAGGAGTTTGTAATTCTAGGAGGCTTGAGATGCAGTATATTAGCATGACGCACAAGAGACTATAGCAGCGTTTCTCAACCTTGGTAGCTTGAAGATGGGGATTCTGGGAGTTGAAGTCCAGACATCTTCAAGCTTCCAAGGATGAGAAACACTGGACTATAGCCTTCTCCATTCCAGCCATCCCTTTCTGAGGCAAGTGTTGCATTGCTTACCGTTGACCTTCAGGTTCCTGGACAGTATATGCACGCTTCTGCTCACTCACTGCCTGGGAGTATCGAGGGTCACCCAAAACTATAGATACCACATTCTGAAATAGGAAAATGCATGAAGTGACCCAATGCTGCAAGTAATGTCTTTCCATCTTGTATTGTGGCGCCATTAGCAGAAGGTGCTTTTAAAATGGTAGGCACAATTGTGTGGAATGAATCCACCAATGGCTGTGATGTGGGTGACATTTCTCATCTTAGAAACAGTCTACCTCTGATTAAAGCTGGATTACCGCTTCCACATTTCCCTAGAAATATTCAGTTAATCACTGTCAGAAGAGAAATGCTCAGTTAGATGGCCCACTAAATATTCACCAAGGTTTTCCTTATGTTGGGATGAATCTGCCAGTAGCTATTAGCCATGTTAGCTGACTTGTATCTCCGTGGGTAGAAATGGTCTCCCTATAATAATAGCATCTTGGATTTTGCATGTAAAGATCTAGTTGTATTATATCTACAGTTGGGAGATCAAAAATGTTCCTCCATCTTGCTTAGGAACAGTTAATCCGGAACATTTTTCAGCTCCTGTTGATTTTCTATCAGTGCTCAGGTAAAAAAAATTGTCATTAATTTTTTGATATTAAAAATGCAATCTCATCCAATTCTGGTTTAATGCAAGTCCATCCCCCACTTCCTTTGTGCAGGCCATCTTGTTCATCTATATTTCTCAGGATCTGTTACAGCTAATTCCTCTTCCCTCTACTACATAATGAGACCATCTTTGCCTCATCTTTTTGTTGGCTATATTCCGTTTGATTATTCGTGGAGCAGATTTGTCTAATTTAGCTGCATTTTCCTCCTCCTCCTCCTCCTCCTCCTCCTCCTCCTCCTCCTCCTCCTCCTCCTGATGTGAGAATGAATACTTTGTACATCCCCTCCCTTAGCTAAGCCTAAATTGGTAGCTAGGAAATACAGATCAGAGGCCAAGTAACCCGAGACACTCTTACCTCAGTGCAGCACTTGATTGGAGGTGCCCATTCACCTGTGAACTGTGATTGGTAAGACGTGTTGAAATAGTTATGATCATCACCTCTCAGGGTTAAACCACCTCCTGCCAAAGAAAATCGGAAAATCCATCATGGTGGATCAATCAGAATAGCTATCTAACTTGTCCTGTCCTGTATGAATGTTTGTGTGAGAGGGATATAAATTAAACTTCAGCAAGTAAAGTCTTCTTTGAATGTTGTTGGGTCACTTACCATATGCTAAAATCCATCTAGTCATTCAACCATCCAACCGTACAACCAACCCACCACCAATAGCTTCACAATCTGTCTGGAAGAGGGAAGCTTCTGCCTATTTACAGAGATTGAACTCCAGCACTGCTTTTTTGCACATCCATCTAGCTTAATATTATTTATTTTGCTTGGCAGCAGCTCTTCCAAACTTGGCTGAGAATATGTTAATTGCAGAAACTAACTGATGAACTTGAGATCACCTGCATGCCAAAGAGATGCTACAGCTCGGAGGTTGAACTTTGCCTGCCCATTTTATCTATTTTATGCACTCTGCATACATCAGTGGCACTTGGCTGGTAGCCCTGGTCAAAAGATTCAGTCTAGGCCCACTGCAGAAATGTGGAAACACTCTTTAAGTATTTAGAAAATTAAAAGCAATGCCCAAAGACTGTCCAGGTACAGTTCTAGACAAATGTCACCATTGGGATATGTCTTCGTGGACATAAATTGCCTTAGTGAGCCACTGTTTAGAAGGTTTGAACTTGCTGTAGGTTTGGCAAACGCACCCAGGTGTTGGCTTGGAGCCCTGACTGCAGGTACCACCCCTTGGTAGGCTGGGTAGGACTGCTGGTAAAGGGTCTCTGGTAGGGGTTCCTTCTCTTTGTCCCCACTGGGAAAACTGTCGTCCCACTTGTCTACACGGTTGGGAGTGGTATGCGGGAGGCTAGGAGGATAAGAATAGCTTTCTCGGGTAATAGAAGTGAGGATGCTGTGGCGGGGATCTGCATGCATTTGGAAGTTGGATACAGGTATTTTAATAGCAGATTTCATTTCCAAAGGCCAGGTCGGATAAGAAAGGTATGATTCTGAGCAAGTGTCCCAGGCATCGCCCATTTCTTGGTTTAGGACATCAGCACATTTTGGAGGCAGAATGGGTTGCCGCTGATAGGAGCCCCATCTAGGAGGATAGTCTATACGATAAGGGGAGATTACTGTGCTACCCTCAGGCCTCTGGTCAAAGCCCAGCTTGAAATGGGAAGCCCTCAGGAAGGATTCAGAGGCCAGAGGAGCTTGGACTTTTTCGAAGGAAGTGGAGGGCATTCTGCAACCTGCAGTTAGGTAGCAACCGGGAGAAGATTAGCCAAATTCACAGGAGGAAAGATAAAACTAGAAGCCAAAAAATCTCTATTTTTGGCAAGGAGGCCTATCACTTCTGGATTTTAAGTAAAAGCTATACATATCTCTTCAAAAAGGGGATGTGTAAAAGAAAAACAGCCTTCTTCCAGAAATGTGTGTGTGGTTTAAAGGGCAATAAGGAACCATGAATTCAATATTTGCAATCTCTCGTATGCTGCTTGAGTCAATCAAATACACCTTTGTTTTCTGATGAGTTCTGACATTCCAGAATGGAACACAGCTTACGGCATCACAGAAGAGAGAATTCATCCCAACTTGATGAAGTTTCTCATGATAGGTTATCCCCCTCTGGTGAGTGGACAGTCAAATGGTCACTAGGGGGCTCTCTCGGACAGCCCATGAACCACCAAACTGGGCGCTCAGGACTGCCAGGCCCCTAAGAATAAAATAAACAACAGGACAACTCATGATTCAGACAAACAAAAGCCTTGTGTGGGACTGGAGAAGAGATGGAGCCAATGATGCAGGTCCCAAGCTGTGCTGGGTTAGAGGGAGGCCTGATGGGAGCTGCCACTCTCCTGTAACCAGACTTATTGTGAGATCCAGGATCCGCTCTGATTTTTGTTTTGCTAAATCAACAAGAAGCCTTGTGATTCTGTTTTGGAAACAAACCTGTTTTATCATTGCAATCGGCTCTCCATTTCATCTGCTACAGATTAGCTTTGAGGTCACAATGCAGTTTGTCACTAATACTGTAACCCATATTTCAATCAAGATGGACATTCCATTGCCTACATCAGTGTTTCCCAATCTTGACATCTTTATGTGTGGACTTCAGCTCCCAGAATTCCCATGACTGGCTGGGGAATTCTGGGAGTTGAAGTCCACACATCATAAAATTGCCACGGTTGAGCTGGCCAAACTGCTAAAATCTAGCATGGTGGTGGTGGCGTGTGTAGATGTAGATGTGAGAGAGAAGAAGGGTGGGGGAGAAAAGGGAAGTAGACTTTTGTCAAAATTACTGTATGTTTTATTGGTTATCTGATCATTTCTCAGTGAATTACAGGCTTTGTTCTCCCCACATTGCTTCCAGATGTTTACATCTGTTAAATGCTTATTTATTTCTTCCCTGTACAATTTCTGAGAATCAGCTTTAGTGAAACATCTATGTACAGGTAATTTTTGACTTACAATCATTCATTTAGTGATGATTTGAAGTTACAAAGGCATTGAAAAAAGTGACTTAAAACCATTTTTCATACTTACGACTGTTGCAGCATCTCCATGGACACGTGATCAAAATTGGATGCTTGGTAACTATTTCATATTTATGACAGTTGCAATGTTCTGGGGTCATATGATCACCTTTTGCGATCTTCTAACAAAGTCAATGGGAAAGCCAGATTCATTTAACATTTAACAATTATTTATTTATTTATTTATTTATTTATTTATTTATTAAATTTATATAGTAATTTATATGTTACTAACTTAACAACAGCTGTGATTCATTAATAACTGTGGGACGAAAAGCTGTAAAATGGGGCAAAACTCAGTTTATTTATTTATTTATTTATTGGTTCGATTTATATGCCGCCCTTTTTCGGAGACTCAGGGTGGCTTACAATGCATTAAGCAATAGCCTTCATACTTTTGTATATACCTGCTTAGTAGGGCTTTCGCCCCCCTCCTCCCAAGCAGTGTTCTTTTTTATACAAAGTCAGCTTATTGCCCCCACAAACCGGGTCCTCATTTTACCTACCTCGAAAGGATGGAAGGCTGAGTCAACCTTGAGTCTGGTGAGATTTGAACTCGCAGTAATTGCAGGCAGCTGGTGTTAGTTAACAACTGTCTTGCTTAGCAACAGAAATTTTGGGCTCAATTGTGGTTGTAAATCAAGGACTATCTGTAGGAGGACAGGATATTTGGTTTTTTTAAACTCTATTGACAGATTAGAAATAAGATGGAAGTTACTGTATACAGAATTCTACAAACAGCCATTCAAAGTAAGGATATTATTTGCTGTGTTTACAAACTCTACAATACCAAACTGTGCATTAGGGGATTTTTTTAAAGCTTAAAACTGTTGTGAAAGTTTAGTTTTATCTTCTGGGATTACAATTTTCAGAGTTCCACAAATGCTGCAACCAACAACTATTCTAACTAAAGAATTCTGGGAGCTGAACCGGTACAGAGAGCATTAGGGTAGAATAGCAATAGCACTTAGACTTGCATACCGCTTCACAGTGCTTTTACAGCCCTCTCTAAGCAGTTTACAGAGTCAGCCTATTTCCCCCAGCAATCTGGGTCCTCATTTTACCCACCTCGGAAGGATGGAAGGCTGAGTCAACCTTGAGCCTGGTGAGATTCAATCTGCCAAACTGCTGGCAGCCGGTGATCAGCAGAAGTAGCCTGCAATACAGCACTCTAACCATTGTGCCACTGAGGCGCATCAGAAAAACTGATTTATGACTTAATTCTTCTTGCAAAGCCAGCCAATTGTTGTTTATTCAATAAAGTAATGAATTACACAATTTATTTCTGTGAGCACAACCTAGGTGTTGAATTTATGATTGACATTGTGCTTCTTACACCAAAGTAGTAAAAAAAACCTACGTCAGAACACATATCTGGACACAGGGATACTATTCATTTGCCAAAGACCCTCAAGAACTATCTTTCATAGCCTCCAGAAGGTTAACAATAAAAGGGTGTGTTGAATTATTCTAGAGGTGATATAAAGAAGATAATAAATTAATTCTGAAGATGCATCACCTTTAATAGAATCAAGAAAGATTCTGAGTGCAGCATGTTTTATTAAATACTCTTTCTTGAAAATGGACAAAGTCATAAGGGGAAAAAAAGTAGGAAATTAAAATACTGAATTCAACAGTACAAGAAGGAGAGGCCTCTCCTGAAAGAATATAATTTTAGAACACTGAATATTTCTGAAGATAGAACCCTTGCAGTCTCCATACAATTATCTAATTTGATTTCTCCTCCTCCTCCTCCTCATTCTTCATATCATCCTATCTGAAATGACCTTCAACATTAAAAAATAAATTGGCAATAGAGAGCTTTGCAAAAATTTAAGAAATTGATTACATGCTAGAAATGGGCTCTAACATTGACATCCATTAAAAAAATTAACAGAGTATCAGTGATTCATGGACCCAGTAGAAAGACATCTTGTAATAACAAAACCTTGTTGCATGTCATCTTGGAAGCCTAGTATTAGAAAGATAAACTATACAGGTAGTCCTCAACTTACAACAGTTTGTTTAGTAACCATTCAAAGTTACAACGGCCCTGAAAAAAAGTGACCTATGACCAGTTTTCACACTTAGGACTGTTGTAGCATCCCCATGGTCATGTGATCAAAATTCAGACACTTGGGAATTGAGTCATATTTATGAAGGTTGCAGTGTCCCGGGGTTATGTGATTTCCTTTTGCAACCTTCTGACAAGCAAAGTCGATGGGGAGGTCAGATTCACTTAACAACAGTTTGACTTATTTAACAACTACAGTGATTCACTTAACAACTGTGGCAAGAAAGGTCGTAAAATGAGGCAAACTCACTTAACAAATGTTTCACTTAGCAACAGAAATGTTGGGTTTAATTGTGGTCGTAAGTCGAGGACTGCCTGTATTAACTGCTGCTGCTGAACCTGCTAATCCCTGCTGTAAACTTTTACAATGAAAAAATGTAAACCTCTGATGATACAGAGTACATGTGTGCTGTTCCTGTTTTTAATACTGTTTACTTATTATGACTCCTAAAAATATACTTCAAAATAATCTTAAACACTGTAAATATCAAAAAGTATAATTGGTTCTGCTTTCCACACTCCAAGGGATTTAGTATACTTTGTCAGGGAAACAGTTCTGAATAAAGCTGGATTTTATAGTTTCAGAACGGAGGGAAAGAATAACCATTGCTGCTGTTGGAAGAATCCTAGCCATATCCTGAAATTAGCTCGGAGGCTAAATTAAATGTGTAATAGAAAGGCCAACTCTGTCATTAAGCTGACTGAAGTAGTAATTTTGGGCAGCAGACCAGAAAGAGCAATGGATTGGGACAATTCTTTCAGAAGTAGTTTCTTAAGCAGCCATTTTACAGCCCACCTTCTTTGTAAGAATTTAGAGCACCATCTATAATATGCCATTCTCCACTTGATCCTCTCAAAAAGACTGTAAGATAGATGATTGAGAAAGAATTGCATATTTGACCATGTACCCTCCCAACTAAAGCCCATCACACCAGCTTCTATCTATTCTAAACCATGTTGCTTATCTTCTGAGTCAGCCTTCCATAAGCATTATTTTAAGAGGGTTTGTGGTAGAACTACCGCCTACCAGCCATCTGGAGGGTGATTGACAGGGTAATGGGACAATTCACCACGGCCAACTCACTGCAGCCAACTCGCTGCAGCCAACTCATCATGGCCAACTCACCGTTGGATAAGTCGCCATGGCCAATTCCCCACAGAATAACTCGCGAGACAATTTAACAATTCTATTTAATCATTTAAAATAAATAAAAATTATTTTAATTTTTGCCATTCACATTTCATTCTGTCCCTCCTTTTGCATCCTTTCAATGATTCTATTCCACCATTTCTTAGATATTATTTAACTCTTGTCCCGCAGCGAGCTGTTTTGTGGCGAGATGGCCATGACAAGTTGTCCTGCAGTGAGTTGGCCATGGAAAGTGGACTGTGACAAGTTGGCCATGGTGAGTTGGCCATGGCGAATTGTTATAGACCTGACTGGCAGTGCAGTTGCCATTAGAGAAATGGACTAGAATGAGCAGCAGAGATACCAAAATCTCCTCCTGCATCACAGGGCAGCCTCCTCTCAACTCACATAAAGGGACTTCTTGGCCTACTTCAGTTAAATATCTGCAGCTCATTCCAGCATTCAAAAGACTTAATTACAACCAAGCCTTGTGGCTTGAGCCTTAGCTATTCATTTCCCCCTTTCTTTGCTGACAAAAGAGTTTGGGAGATTTGACAAACTTGCCTACAGTATTTTGTGCCCTTGAGCTGACATAAGAAACATATTGCTACTACATCCACTTTAGCTCCCTAAAGACTATTTGACCATGAAGAGTCACCTTGCATAGAAAATTTAAAAGCTCTATTGGTCAAGGAGCAGATAAATGGACATATATGGCAATGCTGTAATCCTTACATGTAAATATATGTTAAGATATTTAAATTTAGTAGCGGGGACAGTGGGGTTTGAACAATGAGTCAGAACACCAAGTTGTAACTGATTGGTTGGAGAGAACTGGCTCCTGCATGAGGCAATCTAAACTGTGATTGGTTGCTGTGGGTGTAAAGGGGAGCCTCCTTGTTTCCCGCCTTTTTTTCCCCTCTGTGTGCTCTGTAATTTACCTCCTGATGTTCCTCTTTGCCTAGTTTGCTGTATACATAGATGTAAAATATATTTAGTTTTTCACATAATATATTTTTTAGAATAACAGAGTTGGAAGAGACCTTGGAGGTCTTCTAGTCCAACCCCCTGCTTAGGGAAGAAAGCCTATACCATTTCAGACAAATGGTTATCCAACATCTTAAAAACTTCCAGTGTTGGAGCATTCACAACTTCTGGAGGCAAGTTGTTCCACTGATTAATTGTTCTAATTGTCAGGAAATTTCTCCTTAGTTCTAAGTTGCTTCTCTCCCTGATTAGTTTCCACCCATTGCTTCTTGTCCTGACCTCAGGTGCTTTGGAGAATAGCTTGACTCCCTCTTCTTTGTGGCAGCCCCTGAGATATTGGAACACTGCTATCATGTCTCCCCTAGTCCTTCTTTTCATTAAACTAGACATACTCAGTTCCTGCAACCGTTCTTCATATGTTTTAGCCTCCAGTCCCCTAATCATCTTTGTTGCTCTTCTCTGCACTCTTTCTAGAGTCTCAACGTCTTTTTTACATCGTGGCGACCAAAACTGAATGCAGTACTCCAAGTTATATGAAACTACAAGTTTGTGTCAGCGTCTCTGACTCCATTTGGACACCAGCTGTGTAATTCCCTGTGTCAGACCTGCCCCAGTTGGGCTCTCAGGAAAGCAAGACTCTTGAATCCATTGAGTTGAATCAAAAGAACGTTTACTGAGAGTCACTGGATACAATAAAGTCAGGCAGAATCTGAAGTCCCCGTGCAAAGCACAAAGTAATTCTTTCGATTTCCCAATCCCAACCCCCCAGACCAGTCCAGCGGCATGCCGAGAAGATGTTTTGAGAACTCTGAGGTGCTCAAGGGTAGTGAGGTGAACTAGGCAGATAATAGTTCACACTCAGGGTCTGATGACCTTGGAACCTGGCGAAAACCGGCTGGGAAGAAGTCCGTCCCATCTCTGAAGACAGTCCCCCTCCCTAATTCCCAAGCGAACTGCAGAAGCAGAAAAATCTCAAGCATGCTCATCCACTTCCCTCCCCTCCCTGCAGCATAGTGACAGGACACCAGAGCAATGGTGGATCTGACACCCCGACAATGTAGGAATGAAACTGTGCATTAACTGTAGAGCTTGGAAGAGGGACAAGTGACGATCAGTAGAAGGCAAGGACTTTCTGTATGTTATGGGTTCATGATGTTTCTTCACTAGCAGTTTCTACAGAAATAGTTCTGCAGAGTTTAAAAGACCAGGAATGTGTGATTTCTTTTGAAATCTCAGGACTACACTCAATTTTCAAGTCATGTGTGAAGGATTGCGTTTGAGAAATTTTCTGGGACAAACAAACTTAAACCAAACCAAACAAACAAAGACAAACAAACAAACAAAAATTAAGAGCTGTTGTGGCACAGTGGTTAAAATGCAGTACTACAGGCTACTTCTGCTGGCCTCCCCCTGCCAGCAGTTTGGCAGTTTGAGCATCACCTTCCATCCTTTTGAGGTTGGTAAAATGAGGACCCAGATTGTTGGGGGCAATATGCTGACTCTGTAAACCGCTTAGAGAGGGCTGTAAAGCACTGTGTAGGAGTATGTAAGTCTGCTATATTGCTATTGCTATTAAATTCAGTCAAACCAATTTGAAATTCAAATACAATTAAAGGGTTACTCCATTTTTATCATATAACGTAACATGTACAATTTAGTGGCAGCTTTAAAATGAACTCCATAGGACGCATCATATGAGGGAGGGGGGGCTCATGTTCTGCCCCCGTGATGGATAGTTTTTCTCAGCCTTGTGGCCCAGAATGCTAGAAAAAAAGTCTGATGTTAAATACTGAATCCAGTGAAATCTATCAATTGAAGCTATCTCTGCCACATGTTCCACTACTGTCAGCTTTCCGACTAGCAATAACTGTCCAAGATCTCAGGTAAAGAAAACTATGCAGCACTACTTCTAGACAATCCAACAAATATCTTCTTGAAAATTACACTGTGCCTCTGGGCTATGGTGTCTTTCCTCAGAGAGTGGTTTCTTTTTTTCGATTTGCTGTCTGCAAGATAGTAAGTTGTTTTCTAGAAGCTCAAAAACAGTTCTGGGTTGAAGTACCATCACTGCATGGAATGTCAAAGCCTTCACCTACATTCTTAATCACCACCAGTTTATCAAACAGTTTGAAGGAGAGTGGAACTTGGGACATACATATGCCATTTTGGTCTCCAGCTTCAGTATTGTTCAGTAAGAGATGGGGACCATCCCCAGTCCTTTCTTCATGAGAGACACCTACAAAATCTTCAGATTCTTCCACAGGACTCAGAAATCTTTGCCCCTTATATTCAGAAAATAGGATTTCATCAGAGACTACCTCGTCCTCCTTGGGAGAATTTTCCTCTTCTGTACCTTTGACAAATCCCAACAAGTCCATTGTTGTATCAGTAACTGGCTCCTCTTTGTCAGATGAAGGCTCTACAACTAATGGTTGCATGGAGTTGTTGGCTTCCATTGGTTCCATAAAATCCAACTTTACCTGGGCCTGAAAAACATTAAGCAAATGTCTGTCTGGGGTTGGAGTCATCCCAAACTATTGTTTGTTTAATCATAGTTTATTGGATCAATGACAATTGGGAGGGCTTGCACCCTGGGGTAAGACAAATGATTTACAAGCTACAGTAGATATGTTTACCCAAACCAATGTGCCAAAAAATGAATATATCATTAAGCATAATGTGGGAGACTAGGATCTGCAGATCTCTATTAAGATGCTTTAAGATGAGTGGTGGTGAGGTCTTAAGGAACCATGTTTTTACCAAATTAGGATGTTTACCCATTTTATCCAGTATTGTGTGCTCTGATTGGCAATTCTGATCTAATTTGGCCATCTGGAAATGCTAGCAGAGGTTAAGTCCTCTTTCTAACTTAATTGGGAGGAAACCTGCACTATGAAATTGTGCACTGCTGTGTATTAGTGCTGGCTGAGAAATTCTGGGAGTTGAAGTCTACACATCTTCAAGTTGCAAGGTTGAGAAACACTGATCTACAGTGTACAAGAGTATAGCACGAGTCTAGGCCAAAGAGATACTCTTGCAAGACAAAAAGATCCTAAAAGAAAGATTCATCCTACAGATCCAAAGTGCTGTAATGTCAACCATTTGACAATTGTGCTTTTGGTATATTCAAAAAAATGTCCTTCTCCCATATTACAGCTAGTCCTCAACTTACGACAACAATTGAGCCCAAAATTTATGTTGCTAAGTGAGAAATTTGTTAAGTGAGTTTTGCCCCATTTATGACTTTTCTTGCCACGTTTGTTAAGTGAATCACTGCAGTTGTTAAATTAGTAACACGGTTGTTAAGTGAATCTGGCTTCCCCATTGACTTTGCTTGTCAGAAGTTTGTAAAAGGGGATCATATGACCTTGGGACACTGCAACTGTCATAAATATGGATCACTTGTCAAGCATCCAAGTGTAAATCACATGATCATGGGGATGCTGCAATGGTCACAAGTGTGAATAATTGTTACAAGTCCCTTATTTCAGTGCCATTGTAACTTTGAACAATCACTAAACAAACTGTTGCAAGTTGAGATCATACTGTTCTGTGAACTTCAGAAGTACCTTTTCTTAGCTTCTCTGTCTCAAATACAGAGGTCTCCAGCGATCAAGAGATGATCTGCTACTTCTATCTCCTACTGATAAAACATGCAGAGATCCTCATTCAATAAATGAAGAAATCAAAATACCGTGATGTAGAAAAATCTTCACTTGATGCTCACCTGGCCTGTTTCTGCTCTGGTGTGGAACTTCACAGCTTCTGTATTCGTAGGATCTGGCAATGCTGGGCATAGAGATTTCTTCATTCTGGAACAAATGTTAAAGCAATGGTTTGGGAAGCAGAAGTAGGAGGGGGGAATTGCTTAGCTCTTGGAAGGCCAGGAAAGGCTCACGATACAGATGTGGTTCTTTTGCATATCTCCAGTTTTAAAAAGTTTATGCATTTGCAAATCAAGTTAAGCCAGGACCTACAGCCAAGTCCTATAGAACAGCAGCCCCCAACCTTTTGGGTACCAGGGACCACAGATGGGGCTTTGCTTGTTTGCGCAGGGTGGTTTTTGATATGCCGTGGCCAGGGGTGAAATGTAAAATTTGTTACTACTGGTTCTATGGGCGTGGCTTAGTGGTGGCGGGGTAATGTGACTGGGTGGGTGTGGCCAACTTTTTTTTTTTTAACTTTTCAAAGCATTTTTTTTACCACCTCTTTGGCCACAGAGGTTGCAAAAAAATGCTTTGAAAAGCCTCTATGACGATCAGGCAATTCAGCTGGGATCGTCAGAGACTTTTCAAAGCATTTTTTTTAACCACCTCTTCAGCTAAAGAGGTTGCAGAAAAAAATGCTTTCAAAAGCCTTTGACGATCTCAGCTGAGCCGCACGATCATCAGTCTTTTTTTTTTACTTTTAAAAGCATTTTTTCATCGGAAGAGGTTGTAGAAAAAATGCTTTTAAAAGCAAAAAAAAAAAAAAAAGAAGCCTCTGATGATTGTGCGGCTCAGCTGGGCATGGTGGGGGGCTCAGGGATTTTTGCTACCGGTTCTCTGAACCACCCGCCGCCATCGCTACCTGATTGGGTGATCCGGTCCGAACCGGGAGCATTTCACCCCTGGCCGTGGCCCAGTGCTGGTCCATGGACCAGGGATTGGGGACCCCTGCTATGGAACTATACTACATAGGAACATAGTAGATTCACTTATAATGCTAAACCATCATGTCCAATTAAAAGCAGACAATATAATGCCTTGGCATTATGTGCAAACTAGGTCATTGAACTTTAGTACATCTGATCGTCCTGAAAGATAGGCCGATAGTATGATCTCCCATATTACAGATATGGAATGCTATTGTCAGCACGCAAGACAATGCCTTTGCTAGAATTTCTATCAGAGCTGGGATAACAAGTGACAATTCCCCAGCTCATGTTCTCAGCTGCTTTACTGCATCAACTCACTGAAGCCACATAGTAGATGATTAATTAGCTGACGACTTTGAAATCAACTATCCAGGGAGATAACAGTTGCTCACGGCAGCTGCTTAGGAGTTAATTTTATATGTTTCTTAACACCAATTCTTTAGGTAATTTCAGCATAAAATGCTGCCTTATATCAGTCAGTTTATATAGCCTATGCCATCCAATTCAGTTTACAAATTAATATTCATCAACAAAAAAAGAGTTGATTAAAACAGGAATCTTTTTCTTGTACAACAAGTGCTGGAATACATACTCTATGCAGAGAGTATTGTCAATGTAATAAAATGTGTTGTACAAGTGGTCCTTGACTTACGACCACAATTCAGGCCAAAATTTTGTTGCTAAGTGAGACTGTTGTTAAGTGAATTTGGCCCCATTTTATGATCTTTTTGTCATGGCTGTCAGGTGAATCACTGCAGTTGTTAAATTAGTAACATGGTTGTTAAGTGAATCTGGCTTCCCCATTGACTTTGCTTGCCAGAGGGTTACAAAGGGTGATCCCGTGATCCCTGGGATACTGCAACCACCATAAATATCAGTCAGTTGCCAAGTGTCTGAATTTTGATCACGTGACCACGAGGATGCTGCCATGGTCATAAGTGTGAAAAATGGCCATAAGTCACTTTTTTCAGTACCATTGTAACTTTGAATGGTCACCAGACGAACTATTGTAAGTTGAGGTCTACCTGTATTCTCTCCCTTCATCATTGCTATATAGCCAGTCTATAGACTAAGCTTCCTGTGTCTTAAAGCAGGCACTTCTCTCCTGCCCTTGAAATAGTTATTGCACATGGCTTCATCACAGTTACCTTTTTTTGCCAAGGCAGAAGATGATGGTGACAAAAAGGATGCCTCCAAAAATCCCCAAAAATAGAAAGCTAAGCACCAGAGGTAGCTGCTTGGGATCTAGAGAGGAAGAAAAAAACATGAGAAGCTATTGCTACTATTGGGATTTCAGAAGGAGAACTCGGGGGGGAGAGAAGTTATACCTGGAGCTTTGGTTAGAAATCGATAAAAAGCTTTGCAGTTGTCTTTGCTGTTTGCTGTGGAGACCCAGATGCCAACAAGATAGACAGTGTCAGGCTGCAAGTCCTGGATCATATACCATGTTTGTGACATGTCGACGTCATAATCTGAACAAGAACAAGACAGTAATCAGAGCCCTTTGGTTGGCATTTTCCACAGCACCATGGCAGCAGCAACCAAGATTTTGGCCCAAATTCCAATGGGGAACCTTGCCAGGACACTAACCTTCCCTTCCAAATTGTATGACCCAAGACACGAAGGTCAGACCCCCAAACTCACATGTTAAGTTACCGTATTGCTCCTTTTGACAACATATGATATATTTCTTCAGTAGACCTGGGCAATCAGAGAGGGGTCTGGGAGGCTTCCACTGGATGACAGCAGAATTCGCAGTTTGGTTAGACACATTTACATGGATGGCATCTTCAAGAGAAGCTGCAGACCAAAGAGGACAGTTATCATTGGCTCTTGAAGACCATAAATTCCATTGATTTCTTCCATCTTTGGGAGGTTCTCTCATCACTTCCCTGAGAACCTGAATATAGAGCTAAGGATGAATTGCAGTCAGTGGTGGTTCCAACCGGTGTTACCACCAGTTGTCTTCGTGCATGTGCTTTGCGCGCGATCGCGCAAGCGCATTAGGTTTCTGCCCAGCTGAGGTGCGGCAATCTACTCTGTCGCGCCTATCAGCTGGGCTAAAAAACGAGAAATAAAGGTAAGTTTAACGTGGGGGTGGGCGGGAGGGCCCAGCTCCCAGTCAAGGAGAACCGGTTCGGTGACGTCACATCATCACTACTACCGGCTTGCCCGAACCAGCCCGAACCAGGAGCAACCCAACACTGATTGCAGTCAATTGTTGACCAGTGTAGGATAGTCAGACAAGGCTACCAGAGAAGGGTAGTCAAGGTCAAGGTTTTGAAATGTTCTCAAGTTGTAGAAGCTGTTTTAAAAAAAGAATTTCAGAGCCTCTGGTTGAAGCTTTGGTGATAAATTGGCTACGTTGAAATGAACCTTTTGTGTGGACATCTGCCTATCAAGTTCTTGCAGAACTCTAGACTTCTGTGGAATACAGTTTGAAAAACTTCATTTAGGTGATCTTTGTTTATTCCTGAAAAACCGAAATACTTTTCACTGGCCCTCATAGAAGCTATCATTCTTCCTTCTTTCCCGAAAAATCTTACCTTCTTTCCTTCCATTCCATGCATTATTACAATCAATATTATAGTGAATTTCCAGATACAGGTAGTCCTTGACTCACAATAATTTGTTTAACAACAATTCAAATTATGATGGCCCTGAAAAAAGTTATTTGTGACCAATCCTCACACTTATAACTGTCACAATTATCAAAATTTGTCTGCAAAACTGTCGCATAATCAAAATTGGGGCATTTGGCAACTGGCATGTATTTAGGACAGTGACAGAGTCCTGGGTCATGTGATCTCCATTTGCGACCCTCCAATGGATCGTCTAACAAGCAAAGTCAATGGGGGAAGCCAGATTTGCTTAACAACCATGCAATTCTTTTAACAATTGCTTAACCTGTATTAAACATTGAACTATAGAAACCACTTATTGGCTGTTACACAAGACAAAATATAAATTTATATTGCCACAGAAATGGCATATTTTTAATTAGATTTTTATCCTGCCTTTATTACTTTATAAGTAACTCATGGCAGTAAATACACATACTCCTTCCTCCTCCTCTTTCCCCCTCAGCAAGAATCCTGTGAGTGAGGTGGGTTGAGCTGAGAGTGTCTGGCCCAAGGTCACCCAATTGGCTTTTAGGCCTGAGACAGGACTAGAATTCAGAGTCTCCTGGTTTCTAAGCCAGCATCTCAACCATTATACCAAACTGGCTCTCTTTGTTAGATAAGTACAGTGAAATACTGTAGAGTATGAAAATGCTCATGCATTTCTCTATTTAGTCATCTTTGATAACCCCTACAAGAGGTTACCTTACAGTATTTTCAAGATAATGGGCTTTCTAAATGGCCTGCTAATCACAGTGATAATAATAGATGCTCTATTACAGTGGTCCCCAATCTTTGGGACCTGGCTGGGGAGTGGGGAGATGGGAACTGGGCCATGCAAGCACACATGAAGCCCTTGCATGAGTGGGTGGGCTGGTGAGCGGCGGGGCAGCATGCATGCATGCGATTGCCCACTGGCCCACCGCTCACCCAAGTTTTGCTGTGCGTGTGCACATTCCAGAGAGCCACTCACACGGCCCAATTCCTAATAGGCCATGGCCCGATAGTGGGCTGTAGGCAGCCCAAGGCTTGGTACCCCTGCTCTATTATCTGTTTTTGAGGTATGAGATGCAGCCTCTGTCTCATCCCCAAGATTTCATAAAAGCAACCTGAATTTGCATTTGGCTAGAAAACTTGCTGGTTCTGGCTCAAATTAATGAATTAAGTTTCCTACTGCTTCTGCTCACCTGGGGGGCGGGGCTGGTGGGATAATTCTAGATATTGCTAGCTCTGGCCACTTGCTGCCAGCACTGCCATTCCCCTGCAACCCTTCTTGATTTGGAATATTTGGGAGTTGGGGTTGAAACTAACAAGAGACTCCCATATTAAGCTGAAGGGAAGGGAAGACTGGTAAACCTCTCTAGAAGGCTCTTTTAGAACAGCTTAGAAGAGTGAATCATAGAGTCATAGGGCTGCGCACAGTCACTCAGGCACTCGTCACTTCCCGCCTGGACTACTGCAACAGTCTCTACATGGGGCTCCCCCTGGGGTGCACCCGGAGGCTCCAGCTGGTCCAGAACACGGCCGCGTGGGGGATTATGGGGGCGACGAGGCGCTCCCACGTGACACCTCTCCTGCGCGAGCTGCACTGGCTCCCGGTGGTCTTCCGGGTGCGCTTCAAGGTGTTGGTGACCACCTTTAAAGCGCTCCATGGCTTAGGGCCGGGGTACTTACGAGACCGCCTTCTGCCACCAATAGCCTCCCACCGGCCAGTACGCTCACACAGAGTGGGCCTCCTCAGGGTGCCGTCCGCCAGACAATGTCGGCTGGCGACCCCCAGGGGGAGACCCTTCTCTGTGGTGGCGCCCACCCTCTGGAACAACCTCCCCCCAGAGTTACGTACAATAACAGACCTCCGGATTTTTCGTCGGGCCCTGAAAACCCATTTATTTCAACTAGCTGGGCTGGCTTGAGTCAAATTTTAAACTGATTTTAAATTGGAATTGTTTTAATTACGGCCAAAATATTTAATTATTTTAATCAGTTTTTAGATTCTGTATGTTTTGTATGTATGTCTTGTTTTTACTTTGGCTGTTCACCGCCCTGAGTCCTATGTTGGAGAAGGGCGGTATAGAAATTTAAACAAATAATAAATAAATAAAAAATAAAGGACCTCGGAGGTCTTCTATCTGACCCCCTGCTCAAGACACAAGCCTTATACCATCTCAGTCACATGGTTGTCCGGTCTATTTCTGAAAACCACCAGGGATGGAGCACCCATAACCCCACTGATTAATTGTTCTCACTGTCAGAAAATTTCTCCTTACTTCTTGGTTGGATCTCTCTTTAAGCAACTTCCACCCATGACTTCTTGTCCTCCCCCCCCACACCCAATGCTTTGGAGAATAAGTCAATAAGGGTGAAATATAGCTGGGATGAAGCTTGATGGACTTTCCAATGCACCATGAAATTCCAATGCACCCTTTCCTCCACCCCACTGATCTGTTGCTTGTGCTGTTTGTAGACAAGGTCCATCACCTTTTCAGAAATTGCCTGAATGACAGGTTACTGTTGCAGAGCAACTCCATACCTATGATCTTGAAAGGTGGCTAAAGGCTCCATCCCCAGATTCTGCCCCAGACTGTCCTGCTAAGGAGCTATTAGAGGTGTCCTGTCCCCCCCTCCCAACTGGTTAGTGACATTGGGCGGGAGGGAAAAATAAGAGGAGGAGCCTGGAGGAGGAGCCTGGATAGCTCTGCAGACTAAAGCACTGTAATTTAACACCAGCTGTCTGCAATTAAAGTAATATCGAATCTCGCCAAGGCTCAAGGTTGACTCAGCCTTCCATCCTTTCTAAGGTAGGTAAATTGAGGACCCAGTTTGTGGGGGCAATAAGCTGACTTTGTATAAAATATACAAAAGTATGAAGGCTATTGCTTAATGCACTGTAAGCCGCCCTGAGTCTCCAGAGAAGGGCGGCATATAAATCAAATTAAAAAAAAAAAAAGAGAGAACCATATTATTCCGCCAAATCAAGGATTGAAGTAATGCACTTTAACCTAGTTATGAGAAAGGGCTAATGGGTGACAAAGTGTTACAGATTGGAAATGTTTGAAGTTGTGGTGCTTAAAAGGAAACACTACATTAAGCAGTTTGTTTAATAATGACTAGTAGGCGGTTTCACTCATGGGTTGGGGATGAGATGAGGATAGTGTTGCGGGACTAAGGGGAAGACTGGGTTTAGCAAGATAAGATTGTGCGATGATAAATTGCAAGTTGAGTCGAATCTAAGAACTTCAAAGTGCTCGAGGCAGAAATGTTACGGTTGCCAATTTAAAACTGCAACTATTCTGTCCTTATCTATCTTTTTCTGGTAAGTACAAAGCTAGAAGTAATAAAGGAGACGTTCAAAAAGCTTATCATTAAAAGACAACATCTAGATTACAAAATTCTGTGAATGAAGCAGGCAGAAACATTTTTTTTTAACTCTGTCCAGACATGAAGTAACTATTTAGGGCTATTGGTTGGTCTGACTGGTAGGATAAGCGGGGGTGGAAAGTCAGCATGTCATACTCACCATTTCTATGGAAAAGGTACCTATATCCAAAAGTTTTCCACTTTTTAAAGTCATGTTTGTATACTGCAAAGCGATAACACCTGTTGGATTCAATTTCCCCTGGAATTGAGGAGCAAAAATCACAGGTTTCAAAACCTTAGAAGAGACTTGTTGGATCAGACCAAAGCTTTCTCTTACACACCATCATATTTCTAACAGTAATTAGTTAGATATTTCTCAAGGTCCAGTCAATAAACATCAGAAACTGTTTTCCCTCCAGCATCTGTTATGAAGCTAGATTGACTCCATAAATGACTATTTCAATTAGCTCTTGCTAATAATATCCATTTACCCATTTCATCCATTTCATCCATTTCTCTAATTTCCTTTTGAAGTCGATGACCATCCCTACAATTTCATCCTAGAGGTCTAAACAAATCAAGACTCTTATTGTATAAAGAAGTGCTTTATCACAGTTGTCCTGAAGTCCCTTCACAGCTTCTTCAGAGGATCCTGAGGTCTGAAGTCTATTCAACTATGATATAAAGAAAGGGGGTGGACCAAATTACAAATCCTAGAGGAATTGACAGATGCACCGTGCAAAATAACCATTTTATAGTATATTTCAGCTAGTCTTCCTGCCCCTGATTTGTTGGTTTAAATTAATGGCAAAGCTATTCACTAATCCCTTCCAGTGAAATACCACCGTTTTCAAACTCCTTCCCAACCCAAGTATAGCTCCAGCTAGAGATGCACTTGGGCCAATCTGGAGGGGATAAAATTAGAAAGCGACACAGCAACAAAGAGCACTTTCTCTTGATCCCGCTGCTTCTGCCAAGCAAGCTATGCCACTTTGAAAATTTCTCTGATGGAAAGAGTGATATTCTAGTGGAGGAACCTGGGTGGGCCTTAGGAAGAGTTTTCAGTGTTACCTGTAACCACGTTAGTAGCTTCAGGTCCCATGCAGTCTTTCTTAGGCAAGGTTTCTCCAAGAGGCTGAGCTTCAAAGCAAAAGTTAGCAATGTCCTCATCCATTTCCCACTCCAGAGTGTAATGCCTTCCGGACAGATTGACATTCAGAAAATTGAGACCTAGGACTGTAGAATCATAGCATTAGAAATTAACATTAAGGCTATCTAGAGTTAGCTGGAGAATTTTAGGAGTTGAAGTCTACGCATTCTTAAAGTTGTTAAGAATAGGCAACACTGTCTAGACCAACCATGGTCAATGAATGAGCCGTGGAGCATCTCTGATAGATGCGTGCCCTACTTTTTCCTGAGATCTCACAAAAGAAGGGCCATGGGGCAACAATCTTGCAATGCAATTAAAAATATCAGATATACAGTATATTTACAATATGCCACTGTTATTGAAATGGAATATATGCTCAAACCTGAGCTCTTAATTGGTCAAATTCACTTTTTGTCTTCTGCCAATTTCATTCTCTCTCTCTCTCTCTCTCCTGCTATTTCATTTCTTGAAGCTCCTAATAAACCAGGCTTGGTAAAACAGAGGGAAGCCATTCAAAGCAAGTCTATCCATGTTGCCATCAACCTTATGTCCCAACTGGTAACTAAAGCCTTGGTGAACAGCTTGCCAGGATCTTGGGAATTTCTGGATACATCCAATGTCTGGAGCAGACTTTCAATAGGTCCATCTTTTCTGTAGTGATTGGTGCCACTGACCAGTTCAATGGCAATCAGAGAGTTAACTGATGGAGAGATGTTCCAGAGAAATTTTTCTAGGACTAGGTTGGTCATTTTACTCAATTTATACCACATAAAATATAAAGGAGCAATTGATGGTGGAAGAGGGTCCCCATACAAAATGAGATTACTAGAAGATGGGTTGCTGTGATGGATTATATCTACAAAGGGGAAGATGTTGTGATGGGTAACAGTGAAGCAGCAGTTTCCCACAAAGGAGGAGATCACGCTCCAAGGACGGGGATGAGACAAGAGTCAACACAGCCTGGAGCTGGATCAAAGAAAGAGGAAGATATTTAGGACAGCTGCTCCATAGAATCTCCCAGGGTATATTCGTTATGGTTAGAGTATAGGTAGTCCTTGATTTACAACAGTTCAATTAGTCACTCTTCAAAGTTTCAACAGCACTGAAAAAAGTGACTTATGACTGTTTTTCCCGCAATCATTGCCACATCCTCATGTGATCAAAATTCAGACAGTTGGCAATTGACTTTTATGATGGCCACAGTCCCCCAGGATCATGTGATCAGCTTTTGCGACCTTGTGACCTTCTGACAAGCAAAATCAATGGGGAATCCAGATTCACTTAACAACCGGGTTACTAACTTAACAATGATGCAGTGATTCACTTAACAACAAGAAAGGTCCGTAAAATGGGGCAAAATTCACTTAATTGCCTCGCTTAGCAATGGAAATGTGGGGTTCAACTGTGATCGTAAGTCGAGGACTACCTGTGGTATATGTTTAGTCTGGCAAGATTCTGTCTATATCGTGTAAACAAATAACGAATTGAACTTTGCCTGGGATTATGCGATGTTGCTCTTGGGCTGGGCCTGACCGTTTCTTTGTATACCAACCTGCATTTTGTTCTGGTGGTAACTTAAAGGAATAAGCTGGAGAAGGTCCCGCCTTGTTAAATGCCACCAGCGAAATGTTATATTCAGCTGCAGAAAGAGCAGTGTGGCACGAAGTTGCACTATGTACGGTAATGCTGTACTTTTCGAAGCCAGTAAAGCACTGCTTGCAGGCCAGCATGACGAAAGTCAGATTATAGCTCACCACCCCTTGCTCCACGGAGGGTCTCTGCAAAAATACAAAAGAGAGGATAGAAAGCATTTTCCAAGCCACCAGCTAATGCTTCCATTTCTATCTTTCTTTTCTGGGGAGAAAACCATTAGGGAGCACTATCCAGTCTAGGCCGGGTAATGTCTGCATGACAGCACTAAAAGATCTGCAGAAACTTTGCATCAGGCCTCATGACCCACTAATCCTCTTCTTTTTTAGATTCTTGAATTAAGAAAGGTTGTCACCTTGTAAAATAAAATGACAGATTCCAATTTCATTTACAACAGGGATGTCAAACTCAAGATCTGGCCTGTGGGGCTGGCCTTGAAATAGCAAAGGACAAGCCCGCAGTGCCTCTGCTAGCGAAAACGGGGCACAGGGGGACGGTGCGCCCTACCCCTGCCCCCCGTTTTCGGCCTGCAACACCCGGCCGGCCAAAACAGGGTATGAGGGGGCACAAAAACAGGGTGCGGCAGGGTGCTGCAGGAGGCTGTCCAAGCCAAAAATGGGGTGTGGGGCAGGGGTGAAATGCTCTCGGTTCGGACCGGATCACCTGATCTGGTAGCGATGGCGGCGGGTGGTTCGGAGAACCGGTAGCAAAAATCCCTGTGCCCACCCCCTTATGCCCAGTTGAGCCGCAAAATCATCAGAGGCTGGTTTTTTTTAACTTTTAAAAGCATTTTTCCTACAACCTCTTCCGACGAAAAAATGCTTTTAAAAGTAAAAAAAAAAGCCTCTGATGATCACAGGGCTCAGCTGGGATCGTCAGAGGCTTTTAAAAGCATTTTTTCCTGCAACCTTTTTGGCCAAAGAGGCTGTAGGAAAAAAAATGCCTTTAAAAGCCTCTGGCGATCCCAGCTGAGTTGCCTGATTGTCAGAGGCTTCTAAAAGCTTTTTTTTTTGCAACCTCTTTGGCGGAAGAGGTTGTAGAAAAAATGCTTTTAAAACTAAAAAAAAAAAAAAATTGGCCACGCCCACCCAGTCACATTACCCTCCACCAAGCCACGCCCACAGAACCGGTAGTAACAAATTTTAGATTTCAACCCTGGTGTGGGGTGAGTGCGTGCGGGGGCCCCCCACAACCCATTTTGGCTGGCAGGTGCTGCAGGATGCGTCCATCTTGTCTGCGGTCCACCCCATCTCTCCCCCCACTCGTCTGGCCTGAGGAGGACAACTGCGGATGCTGATCTGGCCCTCGAAGAAATCCAGTTTGACTCCCCTGATTTACAAGTACACCCTGGGCCCTACATTGGCCCTATAGACATCTTTAGCAAATTAAAATAACGGGTGACTGAAATCCAGGAGTATATTTGCAAATGGTACTTCTGCCCTCCAACCACCACCACCAGCTGAACGCATCAGCCCCGAACATACAGGTAGTCCTCAACTTACTAAAGTTTGTTTTGTGACTGTTCAAAAGTTACAACAGCATTGAGAAAAGTGACTTATGACCATTTTTCACACTTACGACTGTTGCAGCATCCCCATGGTCACGTGATCAATATTCAGATGCTTGATAACTGACTCATATTTATGATGGTTGGAGTGTCTCAGAGGGTCATGTGATTGCCTTTTGCAAAATTCTGGCAAGCAAAGCCAGATTCACTTAACAACCATGTTACTAACTTAATAATTGCAGTGATTCACTTAACAACTGTGGCAAGAAAGGTCTCAAAAATGGAGCAAAAATAACTTAATAAATGTGTCACTTAGCAACAGAAATCTGGGGCTCAGTTATGGTCATAAGTCAAGGACTACCCGTATAACTTTCATATTTATGGGAGATTCATATGGGAGCTTAAATATTCGCACTGCATGTTTTTCTTGTCTTCTGCCTGCTTAAGAAACAATATTTTTAATATTTGAAATGCAGGCAATCCAAATGCAGGGTGGATTAGGAATCTGAGCCGCAGGATGTTTGACTGATGGATTCAGATGCCCCAAAGACTGAATAAAAGCATTCCCCTTACCGCCCATTGCAGAGTTATGTTCCTCTGGCCTTCCTTTCCTAGAGACTCCACAGTATAATTTACTGTGGGACTTCTGAGGATTTCTAGAAGGAAAAAAATGCATTTATTAGAGTCTGGAAACTTTGCTAATTTCCCCCCAAGCCTCTTTATACACCGGAGACAAATTCTTTGTGTGTCCAATCACACTTGGCCAATAAAGAATTCTCTGTTCTGTTCTGTTCTGTTCTGTTCTGTTCTGACAAGAAAAAGACACACAAACAAATCTCACCATAAGGAACAAAGAGGATTTCACTCCAGCTGCTCCAGTGACTGCTCCAGTGATCAGTTCGATACCGAATCTGCACTTCATAACGAATATTTTTTTCCAGGTGACATGTGGCTACTAGACAAAGGCAAGGATATCTGGATCAGTCTTCAATTGTCTGCAGACACGAAGACTATAGTAGCTGTTAAGCGGGGTTATCTACAGAACTACTTTCTTTTCTAGCCCGCATCCTTCATTGTAATCTGATCAGAATTTAACTATTCAAGCATGAAGGTGGCAGCGAGTCCAATCTATCATGTGGATTTGATTCAGAAATATCAACGGAACAGCTTGCCTCCCGCTGTTTTGGGTGCTCCATCACGGGTGGTTTTCAAGAAAAGATTGGACAACTGTTTGTCTGGGATGGTATAAGGACTCCCGCCTTGGACAGGAGGTTGGATTAGATGATGATTCTATATCCATTATGGTGAACCAATGGCACGCGTGTCAGAGGTGGCACGCAGCGACCCAGTTCAGATCCACGGTGCATGTGTGTATGCCGCCCGCCGGCCAGCTGGTCTTCAGGTCTCCGCTGCGCATGCGCAGGGGGGCACATGTGCAGGGGGCGGGGCATGTGCACAAGGGTGTGCACATGTGTGGGGTGGTGGTACGCATGCAGGGGCCGTGCATGCATGGGTGGGATGCATGCGCGGGGGGGGCGGAATGTTGCATGGGGGCGTGCACACCAGGGGTGGGTTCTAATATTTTTTACTACCGGTTCTGTGGGTGTGGCTTATTTTGTGGGTCTGGCTTGATGGTCATGTGACAATTCTTTAGGATTTAGCAGAGGTACTGGTCTACCAGGCTTTTAACTGCTTGCACAGCTGTACCGGTCTACCCATTTGTTTTTGCAGGCACTGGTCTACTCATTTGTTTTCTTATAACATTGATCAGTTGTAGGGAGGCCCCTTAAAGCCCCGCGGCAAGAGTTTAAATAGTTTTTTCCCCTCTAGCCGATCAGCTGGGATTCAGGAGGCAGCAATAGATTGGGGATGGGGGCAAATAAAAGGTAAGAATAATGCAGGGGGGGCGGGGGGCAGGGGGCCCAGAACCGGTTCGGTGACGTCATATCGTCACCGCTACCGGCTCGGCGGAACCAGGCAGAACCGGGAAGAACCCACCACTGGTGCACACATTGTATTTTGGGGGTTTGGACACACACACCCTTTGGGCACTCGGTCCGGAAAAGGTTAGCCATCCCTGTTCTATATCATTCAGTTTAACGGCAGGGGTGTCAAACTCAATTTCATTGAGGGGCACATCAGGGTTGTGTTTGACCTCGGGGGGCTGGGGTGGGCGTGGCCAGCTCGACATCACGCATGTGGTGGCCCGAGCGCTCTGCCAGCAAAAACAGGCTCCCGAGCTCCATTTTCGGCTGCAACGGCCTCCTACAGTCGTCTGCCAGCAAAAATGGAGCTCGGGAGGGCCGCACGCTCCATTTTCACTGGCAGACACACCGCAGGCTGGTTCAGTGTGGCCCCACGGGCCAGATCTAAGCACTTCACAGGCCAGATATGGCCCCCAGGCCTTGAGTTTGACACTCCTGGCTTAAGGTGTTGTATTCTATGACTCAAACACACCTTGGCAACATCTTCTTTCTCCATGTTTCTATAATGTTCATTTCATCCCCAGCCCTTGGATGAGGCCAGTGTAAGTCATCCTTAGCTTACTGGTGTTAAAGCGGGTATTTTCTTTAAGTGGATAGCATCCAAAAGTAGTCTCAAGTTTGTAACCTTGGAATGAGGTCAGGGGATTGGGAAGAAATATAACGGTGGAAGGAGAAAGACCAGCATGAGGATCTGCTCATTATGCCTCTGAACAAACCAGCACTTCCTCTGAAGGAGCAAATTTGTGACAATTGTACTAGCATGATTACAATTCACAGTGTTGGTATTAACCTATAAAATCCTTTATGACTTGGTGCAGAGGTTATCTCCAGGATTGGATTCTCCTTCATTCAATTAATCAAATTCATTCAATCTATATGGCTGCTTGACTAACAAATTGTAATAGTGGCTGGCTAATGTAGAACTAAAACCAATGCAATTCTAGCATATAAAAAAAAAAAAATAGAAAGCATGATACAAATCAAGGCCAGTCATTAAGTAACACCCATTACAGATAGACTCATCTACCATCCTGGTTCAATCCCGGGAGAAATGCCAAGTTTTCAAGGGTTTATGCTGGGTCTTGTGAGGTGAATTGATCTGAAGGAATATGACTAGGTCAAGGAGGGCCAGAATTAATGCACTACCCTCATCCAGTCCCAGCACAAGGGAAATCAATGCCATCTCAGTACTGAATCTTGGTCTGAAATTAAAGTAAATAGAGTCTGGGTAATCCCTGTTCTTTCAAGATCCTCTTAAACTGATTACCTTTCCTAAAGAGAGAAATTTAGGGCTAGAACAAATGTTGTCCAACACCAGAGGTGGGCTCCTGGGGGTTCGGTAGGGTTCGGGCGATCCTCTAGCCAAGGATTGCCATGGTTTGGCGAACCCCCAATTGCCACCCCTGACTGGCCATGCCCACCCCACCCCACCCCGCCCTACCCCACCCCTTCCAGGAATCTCCATGCAGCCCGTTCATCATTCCAGGTAAGTGCAGGGGCCGTGCGGAGGGTCTGGGAGGGCAAAAAACGGGCCTATAGGAGATTCCAGAAGTCCAGAAATGGGTCTGTTTCCGGTCTCCAGAGGGCCTCTGGACCCTGGGGAAAGCTGCTTTCGCCGTCCTGGAGGCTCGAGGAAAGTCTCTGGAGCTTGGGGAGGGTGAAAAACAGGCCTCCCGGAAGTTCCAGAAGTCCAGAAACAGGCCTGTTTCCGGCCTCCGAAGGGCCTCCGGACCCCTTTGGAAGCAGTTTTCGCCACCCCGGAGGCTCGAGAAAAGGCTCTGGAGCCTGGGGAGGGCGAAAAATCCCCACCACCACCATGGTGTGTGCGGCCGACTAGGCCATGCCCACCATGGCCACACCCACCCAGCAACGGGGCACCAAACCTATTGCTAAAGGATCTGAAGCCCATCCCTGTCTAACACCATCAGATATAGCGATGACTTCCTGAGGAAGGGATCAACAACTGATTCACTAAGAGCCAGTAGAACTACCTTCTCCTTCAAGGATGCATTCATCATCACCTAGATGTGTTCCCTGCATAGAGGCCTTAACCAGTCAGGAGGAACATAGATTTAATTCACAGGTGACCATGCTAACAGCTCCAGGAACTCAATCCACTTCAGCAGGACTAAGGAGCTCACATTTGTCCCAGATAACGAGCAAGACTGTGCCTCAAGCAACTGTGCCTCAGTTAAAATCCAAATTAGAGTGGATCTGATTAATTTTATCTGACAGATGCCTAGACAATTTTTCACAGCAGCTCTGCATATGTTCCTCAGACACCCTTCTTTTCCCAAAATTGGGTCATCCTGAGCAGAACCTACAGACATGTTAAGAACAGAAAAATAGCTATGTTTTGTTAGTCTTATTGACACAAGGTACTGTAACTCTTGATAAAAGATTTTGCTCATGTTTCATTGGATTCAATGTTTGTTCATTAGTGTGCTAAGTGTCTCTTTCTATATCATCTCCCAGAGTTTTGAAAACCACGAGGACCTTCATGATGCATATATATAAAGAGTGCAAATGAGCATAATCTAATTTAAGGTCCCTTCATTCTGTGAAGTGATTACAATAAAGTCTCAGCTGAACTGTGCACTAAAACTTTAGGAGTAATTATTATTAGGTAACAGTTGCAGACATTCACCTAGACAGGGGGTCCTTCATTTTGTAAAAATTAATTATTATTTTGCATTGGTGTATTAATAACTTCTATTTTTGATGAAATTTGCAACCAAAATATAATAGAAGGACATATAACAGAATAACAGGCTAGCTCCGCTGGTATGGAGTGTCCTGAGAGCAGAACCTTCCACTGTTGCCAAGACTGCCTACCAACTAGAAGTCAATGGCCGGCAACCTTGCAGGCAGCCAAAACAGAGATGGCAAGACACCATCAACAAAGATATGCAAGCTGCAGGCCTGTGCCCTGGAGACGCAGCTGACCGTGCAAAGTGGCATTCAATGATCCGAAAAGCCGACCCAACACTTGCAGGAATATGCTAGGAAGAAGAAGAAGGTAACAGAATAACAGAATGAGAGAGTTACAAGGTCTTGGAGGTCTTCTAGTCTACCCCCTGCTCAGGCAGTAAACCCTATACCCGTGATGGCGAACCTATGGCACGCATGCCACAGGTGGCACACAGAGTCATCTCTGGGGGCACACGAGCCGTCGCCCTAGATCAGCTACACCGCACGTGTGGCACGCCTCCCACTGGCCAGCTGATTTTCAGGTCTCTGTCACGCATGCGGGAGACGCGCACGCATGCCCATGCTGCCCTGCCCTTCCCAGGAGTCTGTTTTGGATGCCAAATAAGTGCGTGGAGGCCCTGGAATGGTGAAAAATGGGCCTACCGGAAGTCCGGAAATGGGCCATTTCCGGCCTCTGGAGACTTCAGGGAGGCCTGCTAGGCCCAAAATGGGACTCAGGGGGTTGGGTGGGTCGTGTGCACATGCACAGGGGGCAGGGCAGCACAGGGAGGTCACACGCGCATGCACGGATATGTGTGCGTGGGGAGCATTGTATTATGGGTGTGGGCCCACGCATACGCAAGCCCCCTGTGCTCCCCCCACTTTTGGCACGCGACAGCAAAAAGGTTTGCCATCACTGCCCTATACCATTTCAGACAAATGGTTGTCCAATCTCTTCTTAAAAATTTCCAGTATTATCTTAATAATTCAGTTATAATTAAATCAGAATAGAAATGAATACATGGTAGATGGTTAATCCTTTAAACATGTTACTAAGTCTAGACTTTATCAGTTGCTAGGTGAATAGATAGTTTATAGATTTGATGACATATATAGAATTTATTATTTTCTTGGTTACACTACATATCTCCAGAAGACTTTTTGAGAATGTAGGGGTATATTCATTACAGTAAATTAATAGTTACATATTTTTTAGCAATAGCACTTAGATTTATATACCACTTCACAATGCTTTACAGCCCTCTCTAAGCGGTTGACAGAGTGAGCATATTTCTCCCAACAATTTAGGTCCTCATTTTACCAATCTCGGAAGGATGGAAGGCTGAGTCAGCCTTGAGCTGGTCAGGATCGAACTCCTGGCAGTGAGCAGAGTCAGCTTGTAATACTGCATTCTAATCACTGCGCCACCAAGACTCTTTCCTAGTGGCTCAAGGTTGACTCAGCAGTGGGTTGACATATTGGCACAATTTACATCAAGCTGGGTCATGGATGTGATGATCATTTTGGTCCTATTAGACTAACATCCTACTCTCCACAATGTCCTCCAGGAAGCCTTCATTTATAGCTGGAGCTTAATTTTTGCAATAAATCATGAGAGATCCGTCATCATGTTCTTTGAGGGTGAATGCCACTTATTTTAAAACAGTAAGAATTCAGAAACATTTATTTTCTGTAAACGGTACATGTATTAATTTATTTATGTTTCACTTTTCCGAACCTCCCATATTCCTTAGAGGGATTCTGGCAGGTGTACAATAATATACCAAAGATCAGAAGACAAAGTATATAAAATTAAAAAGTTAAAGTTAAAAATTGTAAAAATTGTAAAATTATAAAAAAAAAATTAAGAAGGCAAAAATTATTAAACCCTGTTAAAAATTAGTTGCCCAAAGCAAAGGGAGACCCCCATCACACCAACCAGGCCCATATCTTTGGTAGTCAGAGCTATTATTAAAAGCACACAATTATTAAAATTTTAAAGTCTGAATTAGAAATGGAATCAACCTACCTATTAATCCCTCCGTGGTGTCATCAGAACTACAGTTTCCCTGAAAGCAACCCAGATAATATTCAGAATGAGGAGAAGGCTGATGATAAAAGGACTAAACTAAGCAAAAAAAAAACAACATATTCTTCTCAGAAACACAAAACGGAAAATCTGAGCTGTTTTATGTGGTAAGACTAATAAATAGATTATGCTGAAGTTTTTTTGTTTATACTCATCATCTCACTTGCACATGAGCAGGATGAAAAAAATATTGATTGATGGATTGATTTACAAGATGTAGATGGTAGCCGATCTCATATAACGACTTTAGGTGGCTCACAACAATCCATAAAAAATGGCTAAAACTAAAAGTGCCCTTCCCCCACCTCCAGATGGAAAACATTGCAGCCCTAAACTTGACTGTTAGCTCAACGGAAGCCAAAGGCATTTGCTTTTAAATGGGGATCAGAATTTTTCTTCTTCTGAACAATGAATTCCCTCAATAATTTGTTGGGGATTGCACGTCGGGTGGAGCTAAAGCAAGGAATGGGGGGAAATGGCAGAGCCGAAGTGGGGGGATGGCAGTGGTGAAATTCAATTTTTTTTACTACAGGTTCTGTGGGCGTGGCTTGGTGGGCGTGGTGTGGCTTGGTGGGCGTGGCAGGGGAAGGGTACTGCAAAATCTCCATTCCCACCCCACTACAGGGGAAAGATATTGCAAATCCCCATTCCCTCCCCACTACTGGGGGAAGGATATTGCAAAATCTCCATTCCCCCACTACAGGGGAAAGATATTGCAAAATCCCCATTCCCTCCCCACTACTGGGGGAAGGATATTTGCAAAATCTCCATTCCCACCCCACTCTGGGGCCAGCCAGAGGTGGTATTTGCCAGTTCTCTGAACTACTCAAAATTTCCACTACCAGTTCTCCAGAACCTGTCAGAACCTGCTGGATTTCACCCCTGGGGATGGGCAATCCAGGGCTGGCTTTAAATTATGGCTGAGCCAGCACCGGCCTTAGGACACAACATTTTAGGGATGCCAAGATTGAAAAGACTTCCAAAAGAACAGAGTTTATAAAAAGTAATGGATGGTACCAATGCACTCTGTGACCCAGTATGCCCACTCGAGGTCTAAATATAATTCTGCAGAATAATTGCCATTTGACCACAATAGGTACAGATGTAATTAAAACAATGTAAATAGTGTGAAAATGTCTGACAAAAGAAAAAAAAATGTTCAGGGCTGAAATCTTAAGAGTAAAAACTGAAAAAAAAAAAAAAGAAAAGAAGGAAGGAAGGAAAGAAGGAGAAAAAAGGGGAAAAAAATAGAAAAGAAAAAGAAAGTGACTTTTTTGAGATTTCCACCAAAACTGGAAGATGAGCCGAATCATAGGGGCACCAATATTTTATTATTTTTAAATGTATTAATAAATTATTAAATTATTAAAATTTATTATTAAATTTATACACTGCCCATTTCACTGTTAACAGGATAACAAAAGGTAAAAAAGATAATATAAAACAAAATTAAAATTTATTTTTTGGTTATCATATTGATGTATTCTTGTGTTCTTTTTATTGTTTATTTTATTGTTCTATTATCTTACCTCTGTTCCTTTTATACTCTTTTCATTTCTTCCTTTTTTATTTATTTGTATCCTGCCTTTATTATTTTTTATTAAAAAACTGAACATATCCAACACACTTTCCTCCTCCTATTTTCCCCACAACAAAGTGACTGGCCCAAAGTTATTCTGTCAGCTTTCATGCCTAAGGCAGAACTAGAACTCTTAGTCTCCTGGTGATTGCCCCGAAGTCACTTTCATGGCTAAGGCAAGATTAGAACTCATGGTGTTCCCACTTTCTAGACTGATGCCTTAACCACTAGGCCATACTGGTTCTTTTTTATTGTTTAAGCCACCTAGAGTAGCAAGATAGGTGACAAACTTATCAAATAAATAACTAAATAAAATTATGAAGATTAAATAAAAAAAACTAAATATGGCTTTGTATAGAGCCGTGATGGCGAACCTATGGCACGCGTGCCACAGGTGGCATGCGTAGCCATATCAGTGGGCACGTGAGCTCAACTCTGGCGTGCATGCGCGTGCTGGCCAGCTGATTTTCAGGCCTTCTGGGCCCACCAGAAGTTGGCAAACGGGCCTCCGGGGGGGGGAGGCAGTTTTTGCCCTCCCCAGACTCCTAGAGAGGCTCTGGAGCCAGGTGAGAGAGAAAACGGGTCTACCAGGCCATTGCGTGCCAGGAGGGGGGAAGCGGGGGGTCGCATGTGCATGCGTGGGGGCGGGATGCATAAAATTATGGGTGTGGGCCTGTGCATGCATGCCTCCCCAGCCCCCCACTCCTGGCACGTGATGACAAAAAGGTTAGCCATCACTGGTCTAGGGCAGTGGTCCCCAACCTTTTTATCGCCGCGGCCCGCTGAGCGCACGCAGGGGTGGGGCCACGGCCCAGGAGCTTTTGCGCAGGCCCATTGCGCACGGCCCAGGAGCCTTTGCGCTGCAGCGTTCCTGCCCCCGGCCGCTGCGCGGCCCGGTGCCAGGTACTCCACGGCCCGGCACCGGTCCGCGGACCGGGGGTTGGGGACCACTGGTCTAGGGCATCAAAAAATCTAGAGCCAGCCATGGGAGTATTGATCCTTGCAGAAACATCTATTACAAACTAAATAATGAAACAGGCAATGTGGCATCATGAACCAAGCTCTGACCATTTTAAAACATTGTTCACCGCCCAGAGCAACTTGGTAAGAAGTGTGGCTGTACAAAATAGATTGATTGAACAAATGAACGAATGAATGAACGAACGAATGAACAAACAAACAAACAAATGAATGCACACATACATATCAGTGATAGTCACAATGACTGTGGACCCTAGGAACTTCTAGATCTGTGACTGTGTTGCATCCAGAAAGGCACTAAATGTAGTTTCATTGCAAACTGCACTAAGATCGTCATTCTTTAAACATTCCTGCCCTTATTCACCAAATATTTTCCTCCCCATAATCTCTTGATGTTGTTATATTTGGAAGAATTATCTCATCTCAGCGGAAGTCCCAGAGTGGGGTAAAGATGGAGGGATTTATTTTGCGACAGCTGGAGAGCAGCTGGCGATGGGGCGATGTGTCATCCAGGCACCTTCCTGCTCCTAAGTCTTTCCATAGGGGTAACATTTCACACAGCTGTTTGAGAGTAGCAAGAAGAGGGTGTATTCCAAAGGGAGGGGTTGTGGAAATGCCTCTATCTTTAATGGGGGAGGGGGAGAAAACCCTATGATCTGCAGAATTTCATTCTCTGGCAATCATCTATGATGAGAGTTTCATAGATAGCAACCCCAACAGACATATACATAAGCTGCCTATCTGTCTATCTGATTAAATTCATCTCCTTTTCCTTTCTCATTTCCTCTGTAGCGAGTTTTAAACAATTGTCTCTTTGAAGCAGAGAGAAGCAGTGATACATATGATCGTTGCTTCAATAAATGCAATCTCCTGATCTCAACAAAGCCCTTGTGACTGTTGTCTGACTGATTGTGATTGTTTAACTGCTGGGCATTTTTATTCATTCTTCTCAGTAGTGAAACTAAACAACTTTACCTTCCCCAGTCTGAAGCCTTTTCGAGATGTAGGAGCTCAACATCCAAATTTCCTTAAATCAGGGGTCAGCAACCTGTGGCTCTGGAGCCACATGTGGCTCTTTCACCCCTCTGCTATGGCTCCCTGTCACTCAAAATATGCGTCACAACCACCAATGTGCGACACCTGCCAGCACGCGATTTATTGAGCTTTTCAACCCCCGGTAGGCCAATCATGGATAAATCAAAGAAAAAAAGACATTCAGAAGAAAACAGAACGTTTAATTCAACTACTTATGCTAGTTTTGTGGCCGCTCAAGAAATAGTCAGGCATCGGAAGGATTTTGTGGCTCCCAGTGTTTTCTTTTCTGTGGGAAATGGGTCCAAATGGCTCTTTGAGTGTTTAAGGTTGCAGACCCCCGCCCTAAACCTTTCAAGTGGAAGAAACTATCAAGGCAGCCCAAGAGCATCAGGTAGAATAGAGGTGGTTGAATCCAAAGCTGGACAATGAATAATTATCTAGCAAGTCTTGCCTACCTAGGTAGAGAATCTTGGTGGAAACCATTACACATGGCCATCATTTCCAGTGTTTACATGCAACTTACCAGTGTCCAGTTTATATGGTTGAACTGTCTCATCCTGACTTCACTTAGTGTAGAGCGACATGTGCTGGATCCAGGCCATTTCAAGGTCAGGATACCTTTCGCTCTAGAAATGTTGATGGACTTGGCTGATGGTGGATTAAATTTTACTGGAATGAAAAGACAACAGCTGAGGCTACTGAGTAAGAGACAGATGTGCAAGACTACAAATGCAAGATAATAATATGCCCCTTCACTCATTTTTGTACACTAATTTTTTCTCTCCCCTCCCCATAATCTTTTATGGTCCTTTTGATTTTTAGTTCGGCTCATCTGCTCATTTTCACCATCCTTTTCACTGAGGGTTTAGGAATAACAATTATGAATATCACCCAGAGGAAATCAGCCAGTCTGCTTCCACTGATGGGTTAAGATTGTACTGATGCTGTGTATGAGCTTGGCATTCGAAAATGTGTTTGTTGGTAAAGTGGAATTCATAATACGTACAATCTTCTCTACCTATGATAAACATTGTTCCAAAATGAAGCAGAATCCTACTTATTTTCAACTCCTAGATATCCTTAGAAAAGGAAAGGAAGGGAAACTTTGCTGCTTTCTTTGGAACCGCATTACCCATGATAAACTGAAAAGTTGAATAGGGAGCCATCTCAACAGTTTGTCTTCTGGTAAACTGGAGTTGTGTGGTTTGCAACAGTTTTAGGAATGCACGCCCACAACAACTCCTCAACAAATGGAATTTCCAAAATTCCAAATTCTAAACTTTCCCTAATAGGTGAAATCCCTTAACCTTGCAACATGCACCCAGAAAACACCTAAATCTTCCCTTTCTGTTTGTCTCAAAATGTAGCCAGGAACAGAATCAAGATCTTTAGAATACAGTAGGACAGTGTTTCTCAACCTTGGTAGTTTGATGTGTTGACTTCAACTCCCAGAATTCTGCAACCAGTAAGGCTGGCTGGAGAATTCTGGGAGTTGAAGTCCACACATCTTTAAACTGCCACAGTTGAGAAATACTGTAATGATAGATACTTCATGCTGTAGGAAGTATTTAGCTTCTTTTAACTTACTGGCTTCCTTGACCAACAGTGTATGATTCTTTGAGACCCGAGGAGAACTGTCCCTCGGCACGCTTTCTACCCAGACAGTATAATTTCTTCGAGCATAGACTGTGTCGGTGTTAAAAATAAAGTGGGTCCGATCTCCAACCTCAAATGTATTTATTTCCCCTTCTGTTTGATCCCTGAGGTGAGAAAGGGGAAGGAATTTGATTAGCTATTAAAGCCGTGTTTCTCAACCTTGACAACTTTAAAATGTGGGGTCCTTAATGTTTTCCTAGTTTGGTGGTTTTCTTGCAGACATTTCATTATCAAAGTAGGTAATGTCATCAGTTCAACAGCTACAAATATTTTTTTCAATTGGTATTTTAAGATGTGTGGTCTTCAACTCCTGGAATTCTGCAGGTCCTGCATGCTTTAAGTCCACAAATCTTAAAGTTGCCAAGGTTGAGAAACACTGCATTAAAGCAAACAAAAGGAATACTTTGATAGCAACCTTAGAAAAACGGCCATCTGGTAACAAAATGAAATAAATTTTGTTTATTTGAGCCTGGTGGCTCAGCAGACTAAAAGCATTGTGATTAACACCAACTGTCTGCAATTACTGTAAGTTTGAATCTTAGCAGGCTCAAGGTTGACTCAGCCTTCCATCCTTTCTAAGGTAGGTAAAATAAGGACCCAGTTTGTGGGGGCAATAAGCTGACTTTGTATAAATATACAAAAGTATGAAGGCTATTGCTTAACGCATTGTAAGCCGCCCTGAGTCTCCGGAGAAGGGCGGCATATAAGTCAAATTAAAAAAAAATGAAATAAATGAACAAAATGAAATAAATTAATAAAAAAAATCTCTTATATTGTGGCAGAAAAAGCTTCCTAATCAGAATTTCTTTCTGCATCATGCTGGTCTGCTCCTGGAATGTATTTTTATTTTAAATTTGTATCTCACCTTTTTTTTTTTTCATAAATAACTCAAGGAGGCAAACATATTCAACATATGTCCTTTAACCTATTTTCTTCACAACAACGATCCTGTGAGATGAGTTGGGCTGAGAGAAAGTGACTGGTCCAAGGTCACCTAGCTGGCTTTTGTGGCTAAGGTGGCACTAGAATTCACAGTCTCCCACTTTGCAGCCTGGTGCCTTAACTACTAGACCAGTGGTCCCCCAAGCTTTCCAGCTTGGCGGCCTGGCCTGGTGCAGGGGGGGGGTACATGTGAGTGGCAGGCACATGTTTGCACATACAGCTCCACTTGTAGGTGTGGAGGGCACTCATGTGCATATATATATATATATATATGTGTGTGTGTGTGTGTGTGTGTGTATGTATGTATGTATGTATGTATGTATATGTATTTCTCTTTAGCCAGGTTCTTCCTACGTAAACCAAGATTTTTATGCAGCCCTAGTTCAGTGAAATCACAATCCTAGGGCTGAAGTAGGGCTGCATAAAAATCTTGGTTTACGTAGGAAGAACCTGGCTAAAGAGGAATACACATAAAGCCTACAAAAAGGAAAGAAAACAAATATATATACTATATATATATATATTATATATTATATATTATATATATATATATATATACTGTGTATATATATATATATATACACACACACACACACACACACACACACATATATATATACACATATTGAAATTTAAACTAACCAAATGGATTAGGTTTGATCACTATAATAATCCACAACAAAAAATAAATACTATTAATATTTTTTTAAAAAATTAAGGGGCGTGCATAAGAGCACCAGCATGCCTACCATCCCTGTCCTAATGTTCCCTTTAATTGTATTCATTTTATGTATTCAATTCATGCTTATACTTATATATATTATCTAATATGTACTCGACAAAATAAAATAAAAATAAAAATCTCTCCCACAGCCCGGTAGTAGGCCATGGCCTGGGGGTTGGGGACCCCCTGCACCAAACCAAACTGGCTCTCAGTTTGAAATAGTTTACTTTCAGCTCCCAGCCTCCAATTTCTTTCTGGCATCCAGAGCATCATATTTCTGTAATGAGTGCTAGAAAAAGACTAGTTATAAAGATAGGTGAGTTTTAAGCTTCTATATGAGACCGTTGGTGAACATCAAAATGTTCCCAGTCCACTCCTGCTTATTTAATGTAAACAAGGGCCTTTTGCACTATTCCAGCACGTGAAAACCAGCTGCGCTTTCTGATGAAAGTGAAAAATCTGGTTGTAGTTACAAAAGATTAGTTAAATGCATCAATGTCTTTTTTCCCCCCCTTCTACTCCACACTTTCCCCCTTTTCCTTGCCTAGTTTCCCATTATTTACATTTTCTTTGCATTTTGTATTCTGGTAAGCTAATAAACATTTTTAAACAGGGAGGATTAATTAAATACAGGTTAATGGTGGCAATGTACTGTACTCATCATTATCACTGCCTTTAAGTGTTTATGGCTCTTTAGCCTCAGAAGACAAAGGGGAATGAGAGAAAAAAAAGATATAAAATGTGAATAAAGAAATATATCCCTACCCCCACCCCAAGAATCCAAGATCAGCAAGTATAGACTGGAATGAGGAGCAATAGAAGCATTTTTTGTAACACCGCGCATAATTAAAGTATTTGTTGTTAGGATCTGTAGCAATGCCCTCCAGATCAGACTCCTTTTCAATGTATACACTAAACCAAATCAAACTAGCCACTTAATGGCTTAGGAATAGGATGAGGAGAAAGACACAGAGAGAGATTTTTATAACAGAAGCATCAACATGCTTGGGCCAGCATTCACCTTAAGTGGAGGATATGGTTGACATCTTCTTTACATCCAGCCTCCCAGGAGCAGTTCATAAGACAGAGGAAGGCTGCTTCACAGCAGGGCTTGTAGCAAATCAGATTTCGGGGAGCACAATTGCTGGGATCTGCAAACAGGACAAAGAATGATATTCCTGGAAACCTTGGAATTAGGAAATAGTAATGTAAGATGTTTACTTATTTAGGGCAACCCCTATCCTGCTTTTCCAATAGAATACGTCTCATTTTGGCCAACTGTCAAACAACATGCGCAAAAAACGCAAACTAAAACTATGTTAACACACACACAAACACACACCAAAGCACTAAAGAGAGCTAAAGTTAAAAGGTAATATCTACAGCAAACAGAAACCATAATGTCATATTATAAACTGACTTTTACTAAATTAATAGAAAGTTTACTCCATTTCTGCTGTTTCTATGGTTATGTGTTTGGGATTTTGTGCCATGTTACCTGCCCAGATTTATTTGGTTAAGATGGATGGCCACATTGATAGACTGAAAAACAAATGAATAAGATGGTGAGACTTCATAAATCAAGGTGTTGCATTCTCCTTGTTCCTCCACTCTACTTTCTTTTTAAAGAAAACTCCCCAGCAGGTGAGAAAGTGATTCTAAATTTATTTATATACAGTCCAGCTCTCCTCCATTTCTATTTCATAACTGATGGCAGAGTAAGGAAGAGCATTTGAAAGCATAGGAAGCTCTGGTTTTTGTGTCTGCATGGCTGGCTTTATCGCTTCCTGGTCTTCCCTCAGATGAGATAAACTTACCACTCAAGAGCTCCGGTGCAACCAACCACACTATCATCATCACTGCAACAGCAACTTGTACCATCTTCGGTTTCTTCCACCTTGAGTGATGGGTGCTTTTCTCTTCCTAAAGGTGCTGGTTATTGCAGGATCTATCATTGCTTGCAGAGAAGTCTGCCCCTTTGCTCCTAATGGAAGGCAGGTACACCTGATTTGACCAGGAGGAGCTGATTCAACTCAATGGCCTCGCCGCTCGAGGCACTTTCAAGAAAGCTGTGCACGTTATCCTGTTTTTCTCTTTCACTTTGCTTTCAACGAAGCGCTGACCACAGAACCTATTGACTCAGCAGCACACACAAACACATGCGTGCCCCATATCTGTGTGCCTAGTTTGCAGGAACAGCTCCGCTTCTTCTTTCTCACAAGAAAAACCTACAAGTGTGAGATCTAGAACAACTCCCATTCTCTCTGAGCTTGATGTAGACAACTTCTGAGTTGTGAGGTTTCATTCAGTAATCATATCATTCACTGACTTCACCGATGTCTTAGCCTGCATATCTGTGGCCCACGGGTATTTTTAAAACTAAGGGTTTTTTTTTAAAAAAAAAAAAAGCTTAAAAATGTAATATGGCAAGAGATTTAACAAACTGGAATCAGATTTGCGTGCAGGTTTTAAATTATGATCCCCTTTAGCAGATGCATGCAATGGTGTTAACAACCATCGTTTGGTGGAAGGTTAAGATTAATAATTCATCTTCATGGTTTGTAAGTTGCAGTCGCAACATATACTTTGCCTGGTTGCTGAATTATGGAAGACATGATGGAACCATTAACCAAAGGTACACACAACAGGCTAAGCCACAAAAAGACTAATCAAGCCAGTCATGTGCTAATAAACTAGGCAGTTCTTTACAAGGTCTGGTTAAACATATTGTAAATATCAACGGCACTCTTATAATCTTCTCTTCCTCAATCTTGTTTATATACCAGATTAATCTTGAACTATCTGGAGGATAAAACAAAGGGTACTCTGTGAAAAAAACGTGGTTATAATAAATTCTAAATTATTGAGCTACGGTGGTGCAGTGGTTAGAGTGCAGTACTGCAGGCTATTTCTGCTGACTGCTGGCTGCCTGCAATTTGGCAGTTCGAATCTCACTAGGCTCAAGGTTGACTCAGCCTTCCATCCTTCTAAGGTGGGTAAAATGAGGATCCATTTTGTTGGGGGCAATATGCTGACTCTGTAACACCGCTTAGAGTGGGCTATAAAGCACTGTGAAGCAGTATATAAGTCTAAGTGCTATTGCTATTGCTATATGTTCTCTGTGTTATCTTTTCAGAAAGCAGAAGAAAGATTCCTGTAATAATCAATGTTTTCCTTTGGTTAAAACCAAGGAAAACATCTCATTCTGTGCTAGTGTTTTTTTCACGAGTGGGGGGAAGCCCCACCTTGTTGTGGGTAGAAAGCCACATCCTTTGAATATATCAAACTTTGCAGAAAGCCTTAACTAGGTCAGAAGTGTGGTGAGTAACTTAGGCGAGTCAGATTTTCTCACATGTTCCTGTCTAAAACCAGTTTATTCACTTGCATGTTAGGTGGGGAGGAGATATTGGCCAACTGGAACTGCAAGAGACTATATCAGACAATGGCACACCTTATTTATTAATATATTAATTTATTATTGATTAAATTTATATGCCACCCATCTCACTATCAAGCAGTTTTGGGTAGCTAATTTTTATTTATTTATTAAATTTATATGTGTAGGACAGGGGTGGTATTCACTTACCTTTGCTACTGGTTCGCAAATGTGAGCGCATATGCAGAGCGTCAAAAACGGGACGTGGTTATGTCCGGGTGGGTGGGCAGAGCCTCCCGCCACCGCCGCTACTGATTCACTCAAACCGGATAGAACCGGCTGAATACCACCACTGATGTAGGAGAAGGCAGAGCTGGGGGCGGAATTAAATATGTCATCAGCTTAGAGTCCTTGCCAATTTAGCACTGACTGTTACAGGTAGTCCTCAACTTCGTCAACTGAGTCCTTTGGGAGAAGGGCGGTTTTTTTACCTAATTACCTAAGCGTGAAATAATTGAATTGAAAGTGAATTACAATTGATTTTTTTTTTTAATTTGATTTATATGCCGCCCTTCTCCGGAGACTCAGGGCGGCTTACAATGTGCTCAGCAATAGCCTTCATCCTTTTGTATATTTATACAAAGTCAGCTTATTGCTCCCACAAACTGGGTCCTCAATTTACCTACCTTAGAAAGGATGGAAGGCTGAGTCAACCTTGAGCCTTGGCGACATTCGAACCTGCAGTAATTGCAGGCAGCTGGTCTTAATAACCAGCTTAATAACAGGGTGCCTTAGACCACTGTACTACCAAGGCTCTTCTACCAAGGCTACCAATTTCAATTGAATTGAAAGAGAATTACAGGTCATCTTCAACTTATAACTACAATTGAGCCCAAAAGATTTGTTGCTAAGCAAAACATTTGTTAAGTGAATTTTGTCCTGTTTTACAACATTTCTTGCCACAGTTGTTAAATGAATCACTGCAGCTGTTAAGTTAGTCACACAGTTATTAAGTGAATCTGGCTTCCCCATTGACTTTGCTTGCCAGAAGGTCGCAAAAGAGAAGGCATGACCCCGGGACACTGCAACCGTCATAAGTATGAGTCAGTTGCCAAGCATCCAAATGTTGATCATGTGACCATGGGGATGCTGCAATGGTTGTAAGTGGGAAAAACAGTCGTAAGTCATTTTTTCCAGTGGTGTTATGAATTTGAATGGTCACTAAATGAAGGGCTGTAAGTTGAGGGCTATTTGTACTTGATTAAATTGCATTTCTAATTCATCCAGTTTAAACACAGCTGTGGACTGTCACAATCATACTAACACACTAACAATGGCAAGAATCAATCTGGCACAACACAGGAGAAGATAAATCTTGCAGAGTGTATGTGTTTGGAAAGCCAAAACTAGAGGATATTAAAATATTCATAACAGAAGTCTAACCAAATTCAAGCAAATTCTTTTAAATTTAACATATCATCCAGCCAGGCCAATTAAAACACATAGAATTGGGTGTCTGAAGAAAAAAGAAACTGTTTTATCAAAAATAAAACAATCTAAACAGAAATGAGTAACAATCATTGAAGTTTAAACCTTACTAAAAAATACTGAAGCAGCAATTAATGGTTAAAGAAAAGAAAGGAGAAAGAAACAAGAATAAAAGGGTTTTTCCCCCTTTCAGACACATTTTAAAAATCTTAATATTATATTAAATCTCATCTTCTCAATGTCCGCTTCCACCCACCTCCGTGGAAAACTTAGGCCACAGCAATAGCAATACTAATTCATTTTTTGAAAGATCAAGAATAACATAGATAAATTAGCAACGAGAACAGGATGTATATACATATAATTATTTCTATATATTTTGTTCTTTTCCTCCTTCTATTTGTTTTTTTTCCCCGTTTGCTTTTTACTTACGGTCATTCATTTTTTTAAAAAAAATAAATGCATATAACACAAATTACTTCGGAGTTCTCCGACTTCTGCTCCTATTACATGCAATATTGGTAACAGAAGACATCATTCATTATGTATGTCTGTGGAGAGTATGCAAGCTTTTCTTAAATACAGTATTTGATGTGTGTTTAGACATTTATTAAAAACACACAATTAGAAACAGATTTACCAAAAAAAACCCCTCCATTTATAATCTTCAAAGAGCCCCAAGTCACATTTCTGTCTCTCTCCTTCCCTGGCTGGGGAATTCTGGGAGTTGAAGTCCTCCAGGCTTAAAGTTGCCAAGGTTGAAGAACCCTGTCCTAGTTGACACAACTGAGTGTTGTTTGCTATTCATCAGTAGAAACCAACCTCTCAACCAAGGAAGGAGCAATGTTCCAGGAGCTATAGGTTGGGTTGGACAGAGAGAGGTCTGTTCTTGGGATGGGTGTCAAGCTGAAGGGTCCTACAAAGATGCTTTGATCTCTGCAGGTGCAAAGCGAGAACAAAGCATCTCAGTGATCATCACTGCTGTTTCATCCCCAGAAACACAGAGCACAACCGCACACCCGAATGGGTGAGTCACCCAGCAGCCTTAGTGACATTGCCAGGCACTGAAACAACTGTCAGCAGAGCAAATGGTGCCAGGAAATGGGGCCCAGCAAAGGCAACTCAACGGCGGAGAAAAACAAGATCCTCATTCTCAAGTTGAAAGTAAAAACATCTGGTATAACTGGGAAATTTAACTGTAGAGTAGGAAGCAAAGCAGAAGATCTCTCTTTCTATCTATCTGTCTCATCTATCTGTCTATCTATCTATCTATCTATCTATCTATCTATCTATCTATCTATCTTTATTTCCCACCTTTATTATTTTTATAAATAACTCCAGGCAGTGAACATATCTAACCCGTCTTCCTCCTCCTCTTATTTTCTCCACAACAACAAGCCTGTGAGATGAGTTGGACTGAGAGTCACTGCCCAAAGTCATCCAGCCCTCCCTCTTTCCCTCACCTCCCTCTCTCTTCATCTATCCATCCATCCATCCATCCATCCATCCATCCATCCACCCACCCACCCACCTACCTACCTACCTACCTACCTACCGTATCTATCTCTGTGTCTGTCTGTCCGTCTATTCATCCATCCATCCATCCATCCCATCCATCCATCCATCCATCCATCCATCCATCCATCCATCCCATCCATCCATCCATCCATCCATCCATCCATCCATCCAATCCATCCATCCATCCATCCATCCATCCATCTATCTATCTATCTATCTATCTCTATTAATTTAGAAACCGCCCATCTCCCACACAGAGGGACCCTGGGCAGTGTACAAATATAGTGTTAAAAGCATATAACATGTTAAAAACATAAAAAACTGAATGTAAACATTTAAAATGGGGCAAGAACAGTTAGAAACAGTGATATTAAAATTAATTAAAAGGCAAGGGAATGGCTTTCAGGGCACTAACTAGCTCTACAGCTGTGTGCTCCGCTGTGAGCTTCAAGCAAGATGGCAGAACCAGGTTTTCAAATATTTTCCAAAGGCCATCAGATTGGGGAAATTCAAATTTTTGAAGGCAAATACCTTTTCCCAGGCCTTTGAGGCCTTTGAACTATGATGCTGGAGAAGACTCCTGCGAGTCCCTTGGACTGCAAGGTGATCAAACCAGTCAGTCCTAGAGGA